AAAAACTTATTGATCTACTCACATTTGCATTGTAACCTGCTGTGAGAACAACCCCAGCTGGGGCCTCCATGAGGAGCTCACCCCCGACCCAAAAGGTCAACGCCCGCTGTAGCGCCTATTGATCTACTCACATTTGCATTGGACAGACTGAGGGCTCCTTAAGCTGGAGCCCACAGCGAAAGCTCGCCCTCCAGTCCTCCGCAACGCCAAATTTGGGCTTATGCTTTAATTAACAGCCCCCCTAATATACCCCCATTGGCTGCCCGGTTAACCACAAATTTATGGCCAGACAGAATCTCACCCGCGGCCGAGGGCCCGCGCCTAGAGCCAGGGCATATTAGTATATAGCCCTATTGACCCACCCAGTGGGGGGAGGGGGGGGGGTGGTAGGAATTACAACAGTTGCATCCCTCAACGGGCACCCTACCTAATATTTATTTCCTACTATAGTAATATATCATGTATATCTATTCCAGGCAAACATATAAAGGGAGTGGCGACCGCGCCATCCACAAAATGGCGGCCGCACCTTAAACAAAATGGCGCCAAATTCGCGCCCAAACTGCCGTCCAACAAAGAAACCATGCCCCCGCCCCCTGAAAAGGCCCGCGCTAGCCAGCTGCGGGATATCTAGCAGGGCCAGACGTCCCAGACAGAAACAGCCCTGCCCGTTCAAGCGATCGCACGCACCGCGCGCGCGCGCCCTGCCTGGAATCTCAAAGCCACCTCCGCCAACACAGGCCCACCCCCCAATACCAAAACAAGCACAGGGGGAGAGAGAGGGGGGGGACGTGAAGGGGACGTGGGAGAGGGCGCAGAACACCGCCCTCAGCCACGCTCACAACATCAGCCGGCCATAGGGCCTACACCATGGCGCGAGCAGGCATGCGCACAAAGCGCCATGCGAAACCGGCCGCTGTCCCAAACGCCGCTGCCGCCCACACCCGCGGCGCGCACGGCAAGGCCGCGCCATCCCGTGGACGAGAGACAAAAGGGGCACAGCGCAACAAAGCAGACTATCGTCCCYGCTTCCACATCCCTCGAAAATACCCCCCGTCTTCAGGAAACACCATCGGTACCGGTAAGCCTAAGGAATCATCCCCGCTTCCRCGAGACGCCAWAGCAAAAGAATGGGGGGSGGGWGGGGGGGGAAGATGGCAAGGGGTCCAAGCGCCTTCAAACGCCGAGCACCATAGAAATGGGGGGGGGAGGGGGAGGGAAGGGGAGGAGTGCAAAAACATTCCCCCCCCACAACRGCGGGCCCCGCAACCGACCTCGTTATGGCCAATCCGGTCTCAGCCCAAACTCCGCTTATCTCCTCTTCAAACTTTAACTTAGACTTCGCTCTTCGTTCTCCTCCTCTTCACCCTGTAATCCTCTTCTTCAATCCTCTTCTATATTCTTCCTTCTTCGTTCTGTAATTTCGCCCCCGCTCTTCGCCGCACGTCCGCCGTCTCCAGCTTTCAGGCGCCGAGTGTGCCCGATTGGGTCCGGCCTGCATAGCAGGCCACGCCCTCATCCTTCTGGAGGGTTCCTTGTGAACTCCTCCCACACTCGTGGGAGGCAGACAAATGTTTTCTCCTCTCCCCACTGCATGGGGAGAGGAAAACTATTGTGCTGATAGTTCTTAGATCGGGCATCCTCAAACTGTGGCCCTCCAGCTGTTTGGGTCTTCAACTCCCAGAAGTCTTGACAATTGAACAAGATTGTTAGGGCTTCTGGGAGTTGGAGGCCCAAACAGTTGGAGGGCTGTAGTTTGCGGATGCCTGCCTTAGAGTATGCTGTGCTGGTGTTGCAAAGATGAGGCATTAAAATTGTATAACCATTCAGATTGCCATCCAGTTGTGAATGCTGTGCTGTTGAACTTCATGAGTATACACTTACTGTGGTGTTCAAAGAATTTATAAGTTAATAGAATGAAAGAACAACAAAAATAGTCTGTTAATAATCTCACCACAAGCTTATCCAGTTAGCTGTTCTGGTTTTACAGTGTTTCATTGGTTGATGGATTTAGTCCTTATCATTGGCAAGCATATCTAACCAGTACAGTTGGAAGCCGAGTCCATGGGTGGAAAGAGGTCTGAGGACAGGCTGAGTAGAAACTTAAAACAGATTAAGTCTTCATCAAGTGGAGGGGTGGGTTCATCTGGTGCTGAAAATAAAATAAAGGTGGCACTGGATAAAGGGTAAGTAGCCTTGTGTCTTCCAGATGTTTTGATTCCAGAAGGCATCTGGTTGGCCCACTTGTAATACAGAATTCTAAACTAGATAGCAAGGCTAGCCTTGTGATGCTTTTTAAAAATGTGTTCACCGTATATGTTTGTATTATTGTTGATGATTGACTTGGTAGGTCAACTGGAGCACTTGATTTTGAGTTTCCTGGAAAGGTGGGGTAGATGTAATCAGTAGATTGTTTTAGAGAGGCTAAATATATTTGAAAATGGTCAGTAAAACCTAATAGTCCAAACAAGATTTTACCACTGCATAGGTAATCTCTTTGCTGGAGTCGTATTAAATGACACATTAGCCATACTTAATTGTAGAAAGGTTGTGAAACAGAGCCATGTGCTTAGTTCTGCTAGCGCTTCCAGATTGAGACTAGTTTTTAGAGTAATTGTAGAACTATGTAGAATAGCTTGACCCTCCCCTCTGAGTCCAGATGAACCACTCAACCACATCCCTTTTATATTGTTTGTACTGATCTTCTAGATCAGAGGTTCTCAACCTTCCTCATGCCGTGACCCCTTACTACAGTTTCTCATGTTGTTGTGTCCTCCAACCATAAAATTATTTTCATTGCTACTTCATAACTGTAATATTGCTAATGTTATGAATTGTAATGTAAATATCTGATATGCAGGATATATTTTCATTCAGTGGACCACATTTGGCACAAATACCCAATATACCCAAATTTGAATACTAGTGGGGTTGGAGGAGGGGTTTGAGTTTGTCATTTGGGAGTTGTAGTTGCTGGGATTTATAATTAACCTACAATCAAAGAGCATTCTGAACTCCACCAGTGATGGAACTGAATCAGACTTGGCACACAGAACTCCCATGACCAACAGAAAATACTGGAAGCGTTTTGTGGACGTTGGCAACCCCTCTGACACCCCCTTGTGATCCCCGGGTTGAGAAAGGGTCTTCTAGATGTTCAAGTCAGTCAATAGTAATGGTGGATGGAAAGTGCAGGCTGACATGCTCCAATTATCTCTCTTAGCAATTGGGCAACTTGTGGTCCTCCAGATGTTGTGGGTGCAACTCCCACCATCATTGGAAGTGCTGGCAGAGCTAGTTCAACAATAACTTGAAGGCTACAAGTTACTTGCCTTCATGTAGATTCGAGTGAAATTGGAACAGCGTGGAGAACCAAAAAAAACCTCATGCAACAGCATAACGTTAACTACCATGGGAAAGAACATCTCACCAGCAGTAGTCCTTCAGTATTTTCCAGTGACACATGAAACATCCTTTGCAAAATAAATTTCCAGATGGCTTTTTAAAAACACTCTATTTTTCCTCATATGAAAATAAATGCAATGCTTTGCTTGGATGATGAGCTTGAGACATTTGCCAGACCACAGTGTTTGTGTATCTACAGCACATAATGTACCACAGGGCAATTTAAGTGATGGGACTGTCAAACTGTTTCACACAAAGGGAATTGTTACTCATCCAGGACAGTCGGATGACAATATTACTTGATAGATGGACTTTACCTTAAGTTCATCAACCCAAGGTGTACTCCGACTTTAGGGACAGTGATTAATTTGTGTCAGTAGTGTAACCTTCAAATGTTGCTGGACTATGGGTGGCATCAGCCCTAGCCAGCATAGTAAGTAACAAAGGATGACAGGATTTCTAGTTCAACCACATATGCATAGCCATACATTCCTTATCCATGCTTTGGGTTAGAACATTTTAGCAGCATTTTTTTCATACTGTTTTAATTTGATGCACCTTAAATAAGTGCCCCATGTGAGAATGAAATACAATATTGATACATAGGAATTGCTGATAAGATCCAACTCTTCTCATATATCACTGCTGTGACACATGGGTTTGCAGGTGCCATTTACAAATTCAATATATCTTATTTGCTGAAAGCTCTACTGCTGACTACTTGATCCTTGATCCTGTTTTAACATGCAGTTTTACAAGTAATCCAACACATGCATATTATGTAGCGCTGACAGCAGCTGATGGTATAGTTAGGAATTATCTTACAAATACCTCCTTATTGGTAATAGATATATAAATTATTTTCCAAGGCAAAGCCACCATTGGATAGTCTTTTACGGATATAATTATAGACATGGTCCAGAGCATCAAAAGAAGTATCAGACTGAAGAACAGGAAAGTAAATTTGAAGGAGAAAAATTGTTGTGAATTTATTCTAAAGTAGACAAGGAGTTGGAGCTTGAAATAAACACAGTCTGCATTTTTTTAAAATGGTGGCCTTCACGTTATTGAAGAGACTGGCCTTTGCTCTATGGAAACAGCTCAGCTGCTGAGACATTTATGTACTAGTCATAAACATAGAGATGTGCAGTTTCTAGAAATTGTGAGCACAAAAAGCCTAAGAGGAGATGAAACAATAGTTGGATGAAATGCCTCAAAGCAATAGTACTAATCAGCTATTGGACTAATGTTTTCATTGTATTGGATAACCTTCTTAGCCATTCCCCTGCCAAAAGATAAGCAGGACAGAAGTTTATACAATTCTTAAACATTTTAGGGATTGCATGTGTATCATCCATTCTTAGTTAAATAGTACATTAATGAACAAAGGCACTATTTCTTTCAATATCACATGTTGTGAAGAAATCTCTTCATGTCCTGTTTTTATGCTTCAAAATGAAATTTGGCTGGCGGTAATTGGAAGCCAGAAACTGAACCTGATTTGGTCAGATCCTACAAGTAATTTTTAAAATATAAATTGACCAAACTATTTATTGTTACTGAACTATTTTGTATTTTCTTATCACTTTTTTCAGGTAATAAACCTGGATGGAACCATGAGAAAAACTCTCATCGAAGATAAGCTTCCCCATATATTTGGATTTACATTGCTGGGAGATTATATCTACTGGACCGATTGGCAGAGACGAAGCATTGAAAGAGTTCACAAGATAAGGGCAAGTAGGGACATCATTATTGATCAGTTGCCAGATCTGATGGGCCTTAAAGCAGCAAGTGTCACCAAAGCTGTTGGTAAGTGAAAACAATATGAAGTTACCATGTTGTGCTCCAGAATGATATTTTTTCCATCAGTCTCCTATAATGACAGTAGCCATGTCTGGATTGTTTAAGGAGCTGCAAAGTGGAATATTTGAAATGTTACTGTTTTGGACTATTGCTCCTGGAATTCCCAAGCCAAGCCGGCTAGCAACCATGCTAGCTGGGGGATTCTGTGAAATACATTCTCCAAAAGTTTTTTTTAAATATCTGTCTACACAACTCAATTCCCATTTTCCAAAAATTCTATAAAAATTCTAAAAGTAAGCTATTTATAGATAACCAGAGAGGAAAGAGCCATCTGGTGCAATGTTTCCAAATAATCACACAAAGTGGTAGTTTTAATAGAATATTACTCCCCTGGTTTTCTTGCAGACAGTCAAAATAGTGTTGATGCATCCCTATTTTATCTTTTTTGTGCTGTAGAATTTTTTTGTAATTTTTATTAATTTGTGTTGCGTTTTTGCAAATGAGAAACAAGTGTGATTTTTAGAGATGCATTGAAAAAGCTACAGTACATACTCTCTTCACTTGTAGTACCTTGAAAACCCTTAATGTAAAAGAAAAGCATTATTAGCTGCAGATCTCATTATGTTCTTTTGACCTATTTTGTGTCTAGTGAGACTTTCAATTTAATTATGATATCTGAAAAGAGCAACCATTCATGTCCTTCATGTCTATTGAAAGAGCCATGTTTAACATAGATGAAAGCTTGCCCTCTGATTTGACTTGACTGAGCATATGTTTCCCAGTTCCTGCACCTGTAAAAGCACAACCCTTCCCTCTAAGTGAGGTTTTAAGCAGTTCGCACAGTTTCTCTCTATTCACTTTGCATCTCCTCTATAGAGACTAACCCTGTTTTTAACCTGCATGCTACACCAACCTTTTCCTTATGGGTCACTGTCACTCTTCCTTTATCCATGGTGACTCAATCTGTCTGTCTCTGGGCAGCAAGCAGATGGGGAGGAGCAAAGCACATTGGGAGGGGGCAGCGATAGATAAGCAAAAAGGGTACAGAGAATAAGATATTATTGTTAAATACGAAAAATGTATATCAATTACACTATCTTACCACCATGGAACAATTTAAATTCATACTATGCAACTCAAAATCGAGACTATAATTGTTTTAGAATTTTCTCTTTCTTTTTTATTTAGTGATACATGCCAATGTTCTATAAAATCATGCATGTTTAGTTTGATTTTTAGCATCACTTTTAACAGCTTGGAAATGGCAACAGAGACATTGTTTATCATTATATGGTCAGATTTTTGTCCTCTGTAAAGACCTTTTCAATCAATTTCATTAACTTATGTTAGCTTCCAAGGAGATATTCCATCCCCCTTTTTCCAAGGTCCCCTTCAGAGTTTTTTACACTGTTCCTGCCACCTTACTATTTGATTCTGCCTATATTATAATTTCTTCGGGGTCCTGGCCTTCTATTTCTCAGTTGCTAGACACAATGTACTGTACTGTATTTGCTAAGTGTAGAAAGGTCAAGTAGATTCATATTAATAACCTGTCTTTCTCTAAAGACAGGTTCATCTTTTTTTGGATCCTGGAATCAGTTGCCCTTCAACAGATGGATTAGTTTTAGATGATCTAACCTGCAAGTGCAGTTTTGTTGCTGAACATATACCTGGAATTATTTTGTTTTCTTATTTATTTAGAGCAATTATATCCCACCATTCAGCCAAAAAGGCTTCCAGGGCAACTTAAAAAAATTAACATGAAAATTCCTTGCTCACTGACTTATACATACGTTGTGGCATTTAATTTTGCCAATTTGTACGCCACCCTGAGTCACCTTCGGGCTAAAAAGGGCGGGATAAAAATGCGGCAAATAAATAAATAAATAATACTCCTGAGTTCAAAAGGACAAAGAACATAAGGAAAGGGGGATGGCTGAGCATTAAGTTCAGCAAATGCTAAATGCTGCAGTGTAAGAATTAAGTGAAGACTATGATTTAAAATGTGGTAGAGTTAGAGCACATGTGCCTTCTACATACAGTCACGAACCATCTTTGTGGAAGGGGAAAATAATCATGTATGAAGTAGTGCATATCTTGCCCCTTCTTTATGCTGTTGGTTAAGTTTCAGGTAAGAGTTTTATTGGATTACACAAATCACAATCATATTTATTTATTTATTTATTTATTTAGAGTATTTGTACTCCACCCTTCTCAACCCCCGGGGGGGGGGGGGCACTCAGGGCAGCTTCCAGTCGGCACATAATCAATGCTTACAAGCAATACAACAAAACACACATCAAAACAATAATTATAAATAGTTAAAAACATTAGGTTAATACAATAAAATCTACTAAAAAAGAAAGCCGGTCTGGTGGCCATTGTTCTGTCGAGTTCTGTCATAGGCATTTACATACATTATTTTAGCAATATATGTGACAAACGTGTAAGGTGTAGATTCAGTAATTCACATAAAGAGCTGAACCTGAAAGTAGTGACTTGTGTTTCATGGTTGAGGTAAACTTTTGAGCTATGTGGCATTCAACTCTTTTTCATGAATGAAATAAACAGGGAGGGTGGAGCCAGTTTTTCCCTAATTAGAATGATTATAGAAGGCAGACTTGTACACTTGGATAGGATCTTTCAAATATAATCGTTCCCATGGCACTGGTGTTTATAACCATGTCAGATGCAGTTACACCCCAGCCATGTTTCTCTCTCCTTCACATGATCTCTTTGCTTTCCAGGAACAAATCCATGTGCTGAGAATAATGGAGGTTGCAGCCACCTCTGTTTCTTCACACCACAAGAGTGCAGATGTGCCTGTCCTATCGGCCTGGAGTTACTTAGCGATATGAAGACCTGTATCATTCCAGAAGCCTTTCTTGTTTTTACTAGCAGAGCTGCCATTCATAGGATTTCTCTGGAAACAAATAATAATGATGTAGCTATTCCTCTTACTGGTGTCAAGGAAGCCTCTGCACTAGATTTTGACGTATCTGACAACAGAATTTATTGGACAGATATTAGTCTAAAGGTACTCATTGCACATTAACTGTTCTCCTGAGCTGCTATACTCATTTAGTTGTGATGTACTCCTTTCTAGGCATTAGTTTGGTGATGGATTTGCTGCCTAAAATGAATTGTATTTGGTAACAGAATAAATTTGCTTCATTAATATACTGAAATCAAAAGGGATAAATGCAGATAAGTATAAATACTATTTGTTTGTATGGTTTCTTCTGACAATGTCTGTTTGAATAGTAAGTGTGCATATGTTTAGTAGTCCTACAGATTTTATCCTTTAAATGCCTGCTTTCGGGGATGCATAATAATGAGTGAATCACTGTTAAAATTAAGTCATGAGTGGTTTACTCATTCATACCCCACAGGGAAAAAACATGGAAGTTTTGTCCTGAAGTCTTGTAATATTCTTTAAATCTTATAAACTGTCTGTATTCCTGAAATGCTATAACATTTCAACAAAACTGTTTTGTAGACCATAAGCCGAGCTTTCATGAATGGAAGTACAGTAGAGCACGTGATTGAATTTGGGTTGGATTACCCTGAAGGAATGGCTGTAGACTGGATGGGGAAAAACCTTTATTGGGCAGATACTGGAACCAATAGAATTGAAGTGGCACGCCTGGATGGTTTATATCGGCAAGTTCTTGTGTGGAAAGATTTGGACAATCCAAGGTCTTTAGCTCTTGATCCATCTAAAGGGTAAGGAAGATTATTTTTCTCATTACAGCAAAGTTTCATTATATGAATGACACACAGCGGGTTCAGTACAAAGGACATGCTGGAAATCAGAGTTCAAACACAGTACTTCCTGAATTACAACTCCCAGAACCCCCACCCAGATAACACTACCAAAACACAACTTTTCAATGTCTATTAACAACACAATTTGGAGTTAAGGGTTAAATGTGCCAATTCCATTTATTTTTACTCATCTGGCAATGATTGAGTTTACCCGTTCCAGGCAACAGTTTTGTTGGAATGAGGCCCACTACGTCCATCCTAGACCCCTGCCCATCCTGGCTTCTGAAGGAGGCCAGAGGGGGTTGGCTGAGTGGGTAACGGTGGTGGTTAACGCCTCCCTTCGGGAAGGCGAAGATTCCAGCGAGCTTAAAACAAGCTATTATAAAACCGCTGTTGAAAAAACCATCACTGGACCCCACTAAATTTGACAACTTTCGGCCTGTTTCCAATCTCCCCTTTTTGGGCAAAGTCATGGAAAGCGTGGTGGCCTCACAACTCCAGGTATTCTTGAGAGACACGGATTATCTGGATTCGGCACAGTCTGGTTTCAGACTGGGACATGGAACTGAGACGGTCTTGGTCGCCTTAGTGGATGATCTGCGCCGGGAGCTAGACAGGGGGAGTGTGTCCCTGTTGGTGCTCCTGGACCTCTCAGCGGCCTTCGATACCGTCGACCACGGTATCCTTCTGGGGCGCCTTGCGGAAATGGGCTCGGGGGCACTGTTCTGCAGTGGCTCCGGTCATTTCTGGAGGGCCGCACCCAGAAGGTGTTATTGGGGGACACCTGTTCAACACCACAGCCTTTGACCTGTGGGGTTCCACAGGGCTCTATACTGTCCCCATGCTGTTTAACATCTACATGAAGCCGCTGGGTGAGATCATCCGGAGTTTCGGGGTGCGGTGTCATCTGTACGCAGATGATGTCCAACTCTGTCACTCCTTCCCACCTGCTACTAAGGAGGCTGTCGAGGTCCTGAACCGGTGCCTGGCCGCTGTAATGGTCTGGATGAGGGCGAACAAATTGAAATTAAATCCAGACAAGACAGAGGTACTCCTGGTCAGTCGCAAGGCCGAACAGGGTATAGGGTTACAGCCTGTGCTGGATGGGGTCGCACTACCTTTGAAGGCGCAGGTTCGCAGCTTGGGTGTGACCCTGGATTCATCGTTGAGCCTGGACCCCCAGGTTTCAGCGGTGACCAGGGGAGCATTCGCACAGCTCAGGCTCGTGCGCCAGCTGCGCCCGTACCTTGGGAAGTCTGACTTGGCCACGGTAGTACACGCTCTGGTCACATCCCGCCTTGACTACTGCAACGCTCTCTACATGGGGCTGCCCTTGAAGACGGCCCGGAAGCTCCAGCTAGTCCAGCGCGCGGCAGCCATGTTACTAACAGGAGCAGGACGCAGGGAGCACACAATGCCCTTGTTGTCCCAGCTCCACTGGCTGCCGATCTGCTACCGGGCCCAATTCAAGGTGCTGGTGTTGGCCTACAAAGCCCTAAACGGTTCCGGCCCAAAATACCTATCTGACCGCATCTCGGCCTATGAGCCCACGAGGACCTTGAGATCGTCTGGGGAGGCCCTTCTCTCGATCCCGCCTGCCTCACAGGCACGCCTGGCGGGGACGAGGGATAGGGCCTTCTCGGTGGTGGCCCCGGCTGTGGAACACCCTCCCTGTAGACATCAGACAGGCGCCCTCCCTTATGACATTCCGCAAGAGCCTAAAGACGTGGTTGTTTGAGAAGGCGTTTGACTAAGTGCTACAACAAATTGGCAATGATGAGTGGAACGGAATATGGATAACGAGATTGGATTGTGATTCTATGATGAGACGTCGCGAATGATTTAGTGTAATGGTATTATTAATAGTGATGTTGTTATTGTTGTTTATGATATTGCTTTCATTGTAAATTGTCTTTTTATATGTTGTACACCGCCGTGAGTCGCCCTAGGGCTGAGAACGGCGGTCAACAAATGCAGTAAATAAATAAATAAATAAATAAATAAATGTATGTTATATAGCAGATATGAGTTGTCACGCCACTAGGAATAACCAATTGCTTGATGTCATGCCCAAAATGATTGAATCTCTGGAGGCATGAAATTGACTTTAAAAACATGATGTTTGGTTTTATATCTTTGTTTGTGAAGATTTTTATTTATTTATTTACAGCATTTTTATCCCACTCTTTTTAGCCCGAAGGTGACTCTGGGCAGCGTACGGATTGGCAACAATTAGATGCCACAACATACATAACATATCAATTAAAAACATTCAAAATCATATAATAAAAATCAATATAAACCAATTAAAACTAAAGTAATCAATGTCTTCCAGTTCAACTCCTTACCATCTGCCATCTGCCCTCCAATCCCACCTGTGAAGGTGATAGGACTGAGGCAAAGCATTCTCCTCCAGATTGTAAAGCTTGCACTGGCTTGTATGAGGAGATAGCTTTTCAGACAGTCTGGACCCAGGTTGTGTGGGACTTTAAGAGTACAAACCAGCACCTTGAATTGTGTGTGGAAATAGGCCAATGACTCTGCTTCACCATGATACTGGTAACCAGCCCTGGTCAATAGCCTAGCCATAGCATTTTGGACCCACTGAAGTTTATAATTGTTTAATATGACAGTTCCTTGTCCTCAGGCTTACAAATTAAAAAGGCACAACACACAAGGAAGGGGAATGGCAGTGGTGGTGGGGTGTGTCAAGTATTGAGGTCTCTACCCATTTAGGGTTTGCACCTTGGATTGGCACCAGAAGCATATCCGTTATGTATTCTTTAGTTTAAATGTTTTTATCTATTATGTATTGTCTTGGGAGCCCTGGTGGGTTGAGAAGCAATAATTTTTATAAGAAATAAAGTGTTAGACCCAATATCTGTTTTTGGCAGGGCAAGGCTTTCCCCAAAGTTGTGTAAAACTCCCTGTGTTCAATCCCCACCAAAATGTGCAAAGTTAGTAATGCAAGTTTCCTCTTTCAACTTCACTGGAGCCAAAACACGCCGAGCGTCTGCTGAAAGCTAGCCTTCCTGTCAGCAATTCTGTATATCTTAGTAGATGTATCATTCCAAACTGTTTACATTCCTTATTTAGTTAAACTATGTAACTTCCTAGCGTAATCTCATCAGGGAATATGGAAGTGGTTTATAAATATTACACTCTCATACATCCTAGACTTTTAGAATGAGCTTTTGAATGCGCTTTTTGAATGAGCTCTTTGTTTGACTGTTTGACAGATAATCCGCATGTCTCTGTGTGTGTTGTATATGTGAAAAAAGGAGAAGGAGAAACACTTCCAGATCCTTTTACCAGTAGTAATGTCTAGCCCCGCGGCTAATATCCAACCCATATTTTGTGCGTCAATTCATACATTTAATTTGTGTAAAACCTATTCTATGTTTCATTTGACTTGTTGCTATCCTTCAGTATAAATAGAGTTTTTCTTCCCTGCCACTGTAGTATAATAGCTTCCTTGTTTGTTTTTATTTACTTACGACAGAATCCAATGATGCTGAATTAACATTCCCTATATATGCTCATTTATTTCTGTAGCTTCTCATCAACCCAAAAAGTATTTTTACAATAGCTTAGAACACAATTTAAAATCAGGTAAATTGTACAGTAAAATGAAAATACCATCGATACTAGTGTATAAGTTGATGTCAAGAATGTCAAGTTGAAAATACCATTGATACTAGTATATAAGTTGATGTTACAAGAATGTCAAGGGCAACTTTGGGATGTGGGCGGGGGTAATTATGGATCACTCCACAGAGAGGGGAAAGAGCTTAGGGACCAGCGGATCCTGGCCGGCACCATCATTTCCCCACCAAATACTCAAAGAGCACAAGTGACATCATGGCAGAGAGAGAAGAGGGAGTCAGTGCTTCTTTTAGGTTCTTCCAAGTTGCACTAAACTCTCTTTTGTCACTGCTATAGTCAGAAATGGTTGCTTTTTTAAATAAGAATTATGATACAATACTTACACTGACAATGGAAAGTCAACCCAGTTTTATTGGATCATTTTAAACTAACATTTCTAGACTTATACGTGAGTATCTACAATATAAAATCATAATTAAAGAACATCTTAAAAGGCTGGGCAAATGGAGAAAGTTTTCACATGGCATTAAAAGGCTTCCCTGAAGAGGGAATTCCACCAGTGAAAAGGTTCCCTCTCTGCTTTTCTTCACTTCTATTGTTTACAGAAAAGGCCTTGGAGAAATATCTTAACATTTCAGGGAGGGGCATAGGGAAGAAATTTGTCCTTAGATTTTCAGTTGCATATAATTTTTATGTATATCAGCTTCAAAAGATTGGGTAATGTGTGTTTTCTGTATAACTTTTTGTCTAGATGAGATTTTAAACTTGTATGTAATAATAAACACAAATAATGAGGTAAAAAAATCCTTAAGTGGGGTAGGTTCTAGACAAGTGGTTCTCAGCCTGCGGGTTGCCAGATGCTTTGGTCTTCAACTCTCAGAAATCCCAACAGTTGGTAAGCTGGCTGGGATTTCTGGGAGTTGTAGGCCAAACGTGGACCCACAGGTTGAGAAACACTGTTCTAGACACATGAAAGGATATGAAATGAAATGACATAGTATGATGACTTGAATAGAAATGGAATGGAATAGAATGTCTGCTGTTTTGTGTCACAGTGATTAGACGGTTCTTCTAACCTAGCTCTAGAGCAGAAGTGGGCAATTTTGGTGGATCTGGGATTCTCTCTCAGGGCTACAGAAAATGCCAAAAAGGGCAGGGGGAGGGGGAATAAACAAAAGAAAAGAAAAATAATCCACTATGCCAATATGGTTTTGTTCAACTGGGTTCATGTAAATAAAGAGTCAATCATATTGGATTGGTGTGGGTTAAGCAGAAAATCACTATTTATTCTCCGTTTTGTTTTATTCTGAATTGCAGGTACATGTATTGGACAGAATGGGGAGGCAAACCAAAAATTATTCGGGCATACATGGATGGTTCAAACAGCATCACCCTCGTAGATAAAGTGGGACGTGCTAACGATCTTACAATAGATTATGAAGATCAAAGACTTTATTGGACTGATCTGGACACAAGCATGATTGTATCATCTAATATGCTAGGTAACGTGCCTGAGAATTTATCAGATGTGGTATATAAATTCATTCTGTCTGACTACAACGCAGTAAGATGGTGTATATTTTCTCCCAAGAATTCCAAGCTTTGGCTCTCATTTTTGTTGAAACTATAGACACCTGGGAATTAGGCCTTGTGTTCCAGGTGGAGGTAATCTTCTTTTTTTCAGTCAAGGAAATATACTCAAGAAATAATCGTTGTTATATTTGATGAGTATATGCTATGTGCTTCCAGTTTATTCCAATGCTCTAATTAGCAGGGAGATCCAACAAGAATTGGAACCTTCCTCCAAAAACAGAGGGTGAGACAGGACTGCAAAATAGCAGTAATGGGTAACAAGCATCCATACCAATTAATTTTTTTAGTAACAATTCTGAATTCTTGTGTGAACAAATTAAACTTGCTGTGTTTTGAAAGCAAAGAATGTTATTTTGTCATCTGCAATTAATGTTTTATTAAATAGCTGTGTTTACTATTTAGTCACTCACTGTCTTTATTAAGAACTTATGGCCATGTGTGTTTCAGGGCAAGAGAGGGAAATAATAGCTGATGATCTACCTCACCCTTTTGGACTAACTCAGTACAGCGACTTCATATACTGGACAGATTGGAACCTTCACAGCATTGAAAGAGCTGACAAGATAAGCGGGAGGAACCGGACACTAATTCAGGGGCGTCTGGATTTTGTGATGGATATATTGGTTTTTCATTCATCACGACAAGACGGCTTCAATGAATGTGTGCAAAGCAATGGCCACTGTGGACAGTTGTGCCTAGCTATACCAAATGGTTACACATGTGGCTGTGCATCTCACTACACCTTGGAGCCCAACAGCCGGAACTGCAGTTGTATGTCTTCATCTTTACTTAAAGTTTTTTTTTCTTTGCTTGTTGCATGGCTAGATTAGTATACAGTATCTGCTTGTGCACATTGGAGAGAATGATAGAAATTTGAAAATGGTCCATAGCTATTGCTATCACAAGCAAAGTACCTTGGGAGTTTGCTCTATTTCCTATTTTCATTTCAGCCCCTTCCATCTGGTCCAGTACATACAGAGCAAAACAATTTGCATAGGAATAAGACTATATATGCATCTACCAAAAGTAGGGAACAAAGGATATAAAGTTCTACATGCAGGGTTTTGTTATAGTTGTATTATTTAGGGGGGAAAGAGAGGAGTCCTCCAGATGTTATACTATAACTTCAACACAAGACACAAATGGTGAAAGGGTTGCAATCCAACAACATCTGAAAGACCACCAAGAATCAATTGTGTTGTAACATTAAACAAGTCTGTGGTAAAGAAGCTGTTGGCTTTGTCACAACTATTTTGAAAACCTGATTTTAAATATGTAATAATTGTAACTTCTTTTTTAACAATAAGAAGGTGTTAAACCACAGAAAAAAGAGAAAATAAAGTTGTATTGATTTTAATTTACCAGAATTTGAACACAGATATTATATTTTAGGGACTTCTCTGATGAAAGTAAAAGTGGCAAGTTTTAATACTGTTTTTATTAATGGAATATTTATCGACAGAGAACAATTCCTTCTACATTTTGACATAGCAAAAAACCTTAAAATGCTCTGGAAAGCATAGGAAATGCTTTTAAAAATAAATCTACACAGCTGTTTGGTACATTGGACTGTTACTAGTGGTTGGCATAATTTATCAACTGCTGAGTTCTAGAACTGTATGGATCCTCACTGTTCAGACCACAAACAATCTAATCTCTGTCTACTGCTTTCTGTCAAAACTAGGGATATGTCTCCACTGATTTTTTTAAGATATTGAATAATGCCACTGTGTTTCAGGTTTTTACCTGAAAACATGATATATTTGACAGATAAGAGTTGTTTTAATTACACTAGGATTTTGTTTGAAAAATAATATTGAAATAAATTAATAAATATCTGCAATTTAAAATAGCTTTCTGCTATGTGTATGCATTCCTTAGATGCACAGTTGAGGGGAATTAGAAGAAGAGTTTTTAAAACAAATAGTCATATTTCTGAATATTTTTGCCCTTTCTGCTGTAGACTAATTGATATTCATAGGCTTCTAGATCATGCATGGGCAAACTTCAGCCCTCTAGGTATTTTGGACTTCTACTGCCACAATTCCTAACAGCTGTTAGGAATTGTGGGGGTTGAAGTCCAAAATATTTGGAGGGCCATAGTTTGCCCATGCCTGTTCTAGATTAAAATACCTGTATAAGTTTGCATGATAAATTCATTTTTCCCGGATCCTTGTATTTGTCGTTTTTTGATGTGTCATGCTCTTTGTGTTCTTCTAGCACCCAGCAGCTTTCTACTATTCAGTCAGAAGTCTGCAATAAGTCGGATGATACCAGACGACCAGCAGAGTCCGGACATTATCCTTCCCATTCATGGTCTAAGAAATGTCAAGGCTATAGATTATGATCCCTTGGATAAATTGATATACTGGGTTGATGGACGTCAAAATATTATTAAAAGAGCCAAAGATGATGGCACTCAGGTAAGGTTTTATTTTGAAAAATTACTCTATAAAACTTATTATATAAATAGTATGTATTTTGTTAAATACATGGTACACAAATAAGACCTGCTAAACATGACAGTGGTTGATCTCTGACTCCAAGAGGAGTGTTCATATTCATAATTTGAAACCAATATCCATAGTGCTGATCAGGTATCTTGGGTGGTTATGAGTTTGAGAGAAAAAGAAGCAAATAATTTTTTCTCTCTCTTCCATCCTTGGCTTTTTTTTTCGGAAGATAGAAGTACAGTTACTCCCCAAGTTGCAAACACCTGACTTACAAATGATTCATAGTTAAGAATGGGGCTGAGACAATAGGAAGTGAGAGAAATCTACCTCTCGGAAGGGAAATTCAATCCTGAAAACCTTATCATGGGGAAAAGGGGTCTCCACTGAATCTTTATCACCAATCCTTGTTTCCACAATGAGCCAATTTTTTTCAAGATCCAATTATTATAGCAGCAGAAAGTGACATGAAATTTTCTGAACAAAGGCACAGACAGCAAAACAAATACAACAGGGGTGTAAACAATTCCCCATGCTATCCAAAGCACTCTCTCACTCTCTCTCTATAGATAAATAGATATAGATATAGATATAGATAATTTGACTGGAGTTACACTTTCATAATCTATTCTGACTTACAAACAAATTCAACTTAAGCACAAACCTACTGAACTTACCTTCTTTATAACTTGGGGACTGCCTGTACTGAGTTACAAGCAGTGTAATTGTCATAAATTGGCCGCTTTTTCCAATTCCCTCTCTTCCCCATGTCCATTATTGGTTGTTTTGAACTGAAATCCCAATATTCTCTGCCTAAACTGATTTTAGCTAGAGACATAATTGATAGTTTATCATGGATTGCTTGACTTCTTGTTCTCTAGAACAGCTTCCACATTTCAGTTGCCACCTATATTCTGTAAGTTTGGACACTCATAAGGTCTCCATCATTTTTAGCCTGTATGACCACCATTGTTACGGTCTGGAGCTAGAGAGCAACTTTCAATCACCCTTGTTTGCTCCTGCTTGCAGTTTGCAACAAAATTAAGTTTCCACATTTTGTCCAAATAAAGCAATATGGGAACCAAGACGGTTTTCTGTATTGGACAAAATGAGGAACTGCTTCTTGTTGCAAAGCAATTTATAATTCCAAGTGGTCAGGCTCAGCATTGGTAGCAAAATGTAGTGCCATTTTTAATGGGGAAGCCACAAAACCAGAACCGTAGCCAGATAATAATATGTTGATCCATTTGTCTATGTGAAAAGTACTCTTTTCTTAAAGTAATGGCACAAATCCAGAAATGGGCAGGGAGCAATGGGAGGATGAGAGCACCTTATTTGGGGTGTGTGTGTGTGTCGCACTTGAGGCCACCCTTGTATCCAAGCTCTTGGGAAGGTCTAAGAAATACAGCACACAATCTTGTGTTCTGCCCTGTGAGGGTTATAATTGTAGTTATTACAACCCTGTCATTATTTTTGCGGTATCAAAGTAGCAGCCGTTTGATGTTTCAGTGAAGTAGTTCTCCTTACTTTCTCCCAGTTTGCCTTGGGCTAAATAACCTTGCACTACCATATCTCTTCTTATTTGGAAAGTGACACACACACAGACACAAGCATGTTTCCTGTCCCCCCCCCCCCCCTCAGTAGATCCAGGAATATATTGCAAAGAGCTCTATATCTTATAAACAGAAAAAATGTGTGTGTTTTTTTAACAAATGCCATCTGGACTGATGTGGTTAATTGTCTGTAGTATTTTCTTGCTAGATAATGAATTATTGTTTGTAGTAAGGGAGTGCCTTGTAGTGTCTGGCCTACTCTTTGAGCGATGCCTGATAGGCGTTAATTGCCAAATGACTTCCCATTAGAAGCCTTTTCTGGGTGTAAATTACATCGAGGACGGCTTGCTATGACTAGATTGTTGTCTAGGCCAAGCAGTTTAAAGAAGTACCTCTTTGGGCCATTTCAGTACCCAAATTTGCAGGTTTAGTTGTATGGTGATTATTGGGACTACAGATTCCACGTGTTAATTAGTGGTTTTTTGAACATTTGTATTAATCAACAAGCATTAATTTTTTGCTGCTTCTGTTCTTTTCCCAAAATGAAGGGAAGAGGAAAAAGCCTCTTTTAAAAATGCTGCTGTATACTTCTTCTTTGCTTGCACCAAAACATTTCGATCTTTGAACAGATCAGAAAATCTAAACAATCTGCTGATCAAGAAATTAACAACATGTGTGCTCGGAATATTTATGTACACACATTAGATATTTCCACTGGTTACAATTTGCTATGCTTTGCTTCTTTATTAGATAACAAGGTGTTTTTTCCCCAATGAAATTACAAAAACAGCCGATAGTGGACTTCATGTGGAGAAATTACACTGTTTAGCTGGTATCGCACCACCTGACATCCGCAGGGAAGTAACAGCCAGCAATGAAAAGACCAAGGCATTGACATCTTCGCCCCATCCTCTGTTCGTATATCAACGAGCATGCCAACTCCTTAAATCAAGAAACAGCTTCCTAAGATCTACAGAAATACTTGCAAGAATACCTCAGCAATCAAGAGTCCAAAAGTGGCAGGCTAAAAATCCATAACCTCAATTAGTGGCTGAGACCGGACGAGAAACTCCCTCCTGGGCACACAGAGGAGTGGATGAGCTGGAAGGCACCGAACAGGCTGCACTCTGGCATCACAAGGTGCAGAGATAACCTTAAGAAATGGGGCTACAAATTGGAGTCTATGACATGTGAGTGCAGAGAAGAACAAACCACAAACCACCTACTACAATGCAACCTGAGCCCGGCCACGTTCACAATGGAGGACCTTCTCACAACGACACCAGAGGCACTCCAAGTGGCCAGCTTCTGGTCAAAGGACATTGAGCATAATGCCAAGTTTTTTTAAAACTTTGTGTTTTTAAATGCATTTTAACTGTACCCTCAACTCACTTCTGACATGATAGATAAATAAATAAATAAATAAATAAATAAATAAATAAATAAATACAATATTTTAAAAGTGGTACTGTCTTTTCTATCTGTCATAGCTGGGAATTCCTTGCCTGAGACATTGACTGCTCCAGCATATAAATGTGGATGAGAGTGTTCTCTTTCTTCAGAACTATACTTTTGGCTAAATTAGTCATTAAAGTATGCCACCCTATGTCCACTTACTTGAGAGTAAGTCTGATCAAACTTTCTAGAGCAGTGGTTCTTGACCTGTGGATCCCCAGATGTTTTAGCCTTCAACTCCCAAAAATCCTAACAGTTGGCAAACTGGCTGGAATTTCTGAGAGTTGTAGCCCAAAACACTTGGGAACCAACAGGTTGGGAATCACTGCTCTAGAGTATGCTTCATGTGGCTTTTATCATGTGATGCCTCTACATCTAGATCCAACTAATAGTCCCAATTGGAGTAAAACCCATTGAATCAATGGAATTTATGTAACTTCTCTTCTGCAATTGAATCAGTGGATTTACTCTGTTTTGGACTACCAGACATGTTCAGACTTTAATTGTTAGATTGTTCACAAAATATAACTAATCCTCATTTGTTTTGTCTTGGTTTGATCTTGTTGTTTTCTATGTCACACTTTCTGATTAATGTTTTATTTTGTCACCCCTCCCCTTTCTCTTTGCAGCCATTCACAGTCATGGGAACCCCCAACCAAAGCCAAAATCCAGAAAAGCAGCCACATGACCTCAGCATTGATATTTTCAGCCACACTTTGTACTGGACCTGTGAAGCCACAAATACTGTCAATGTCCATAGACTTAATGGAGATCAAATTGGAATTGTGTTGCGAGGAGATCATGACAAGCCAAGGGCCATAGTAGTAAATGCTGAGCGAGGGTGAGCATATTTCATTTTTTAAACATTGATGATTGGCGGGAGCATGTGGAATGCATAGAAAATTGTATGCAGTTTGTATTTTATCATGCTTTTTTACCTTGGGAACCTCAAAGTAGTTTGCATGGACACTCTTCCATCTCTGGCCTGTTGACATTTAGCCTAAAGCCAAATGTGTTTTCAGCCTTGGACTACCTATGTAAGCTACTAAATGTTTCCCAGGTTTTGATCCGCCACGTGTTTTGTAATTGAGCTCCCAGAAGCCCTAGCCAACTTGGCCATTGGTCAGGAATTCTGGGAGTTGTCATCTAAAACATCTGCACGATCAAAGGCTGGGAACCACTGCTGTAGAACGTATCAGCCTACAGACCATTTGCTGGGATATATGAAATCCTACTCCCTAAAAAGATGTGTTTCTTGTTTTAAAAACATCTTATATAAATTAAAGGTCTTATTTTATAAGCACACACTATCGTCCACAGAATATCTGTGGTTCTAAAAGAAATGAAGGAAAGCATCCGAACTGTTCTTAGCCAGCTGTTTATTTTAATTAGTAGGCAAGGTTCTTTTTGCTGTTCGTGAGAATTCCATTCCCCAGAGAGCTCTTGAAAGTACAAAGTATTAGCTAATTAGCTAAACCTGAACACAAAAGTGATACTTGGATATATCGATGTAAGAATCCAGAATGGGAATATGGTGATAGATACATTCATCCCACAATGCTTGTTCACTTTATGTATTTATTGATTTCGTGTCAAAAACTGATAAAATAGTTTATCTAAACTAATAAAATAAAGGGATCACAAGCTGCTAGATAGTTTTAGATCAAAACCAGACAACAGTGACCGCATTGTCTGTAGCTTTAAGTAATTCTTCCTCTATACGTGAGGCAGGGTATTGTTGGCAAGCATACAGATGCAGAGTTGTTTGTTCTGCTCCAGTCACAGAAGGTGGAGGATTCTTCGAGGTAGTGCCATTTTACCAGGTTATCTTTTGATCTGCCTACTCCGTTTCTGAGTCTGTTCAGGGACTTCCAAGTTGCCCAGTCTTGGTTTGCCCCTGGAGGAAGACCCTTGCAGGGGGCATCCAGCTGGAATTGCCCAATTTTGCTGTCCACAGATATGTTTTTGCTGTTGGTGGAGGAACATTTAGAGGAGTGGTGGTTCTCATGAAACTTTTCCTCAATTTAAGTCTACTGGCAGGAGGCTGATAGCCATATAGTGGGTGGCTTGTTCACTTAGCCACCCACTATATGGGTGGCTGCACACAATTAGCAAAGTTTTATCCTGTCTCATTCTGCCTCTTGTGTTGTGACCAGTAATATTTGTGTATGTACTTTTTATCAGATACATGTATTTCACCAATATGCAAGAACGAGCCCCAAAGATTGAACGTGCAGCCTTGGATGGCACAGAACGAGAAGTGCTTTTCACTACTGGCTTGCTCCGGCCTGTTGCACTAGTGATTGACAACAAACTTGGGAAGCTATTTTGGGTGGATGCAGATCTCAAACGAATCGAAAGCTGTGATTTATCAGGTGGGTTCTGCTCCATTGAAATCACTTATAATTTAAATCAAGTCGCTATCTTCCTTTTTGCAAAATGTCCTGAGATTTTTCTTTCCTTCTCTGTTGTATTTTTTAGGGTACTGCAAAAAAATTGGCAAGTGACAGGTGTATTTTCTAGGATGCGATGTTATCATAATGTAGTGCTGTATTCATGCCAACAAAAATGATAATGTGCATTCTCCCAAAATAAGCCACTACTGGCCCAGTCTCATTTTTCTTGACAGTTATCTAAATTTCGGTCTTCTCCATATTTGAATTTAGTTGCTGGAGGAAAGTGTGGAGGTCACATGGTTTTGGATAGCTTAGAGTGAGTAATACTGCAGAATATCAAGGGGTTTTTTGTTGTTGTTCAAGACTTATAGCAACCTTAGGGTGAAACTGTTATGGCTAGATTCATTCAGAAGGGGTCTTTTGTGTCCCTCTGAAGCTGAAATAATGTGACTTGCCCAGAGTCACCCAGTGGGTTACACATGACTCCTTTGAAAAAAAAAAAAAAGGTAAAGGAGCCCCTGGTGGCACAGCGGGTTAAATCACTGAGCTGCTGACTGGAAAGCTGGCAGTTCGAATCCAGGTGTAGGGTGATCTCCCGCTGTTAGGCCTAGCTAATGACAACCTAGCAGTTCAAAAACCTACAAATGTGAGTAGATCAATAGGTACTGCTTCAGCTGGAAGTTAACGGTGCTCCATGCAGTCATGCTGGCCACATGATCTTAGAGGCGTCTACAGACAACGCTGGCTCTTTGGCTTAGAAATGGAGATGATCACCACCTCCCAGAGTCGGACAAAACGAGACTTAATATCAAAGGGAAACCTTTACCTATGTTCCCAAATATATTAGTTTGCTTCCTATCATCACCTGGAAAGTAGAATCTGGCATATTTGTTGGCAGCAACTTTGAACAGAGAATATTTAAAATTGGACTTCTCTGTGTATTAAGCATAATGAAAATCAACACGAAAGAGATCATGCTCTTACACATGACAAAATACTAAACTGTATGTACTTTCCCCTTTACACAATTAACTCACACTTAATTAGTTCAATTGTTAGACAGTAGTATTCCTTTTTATTGCCTGTATTTTCTCATTTTTCCATTCCTAATTTAAAAAGTACTAGACTATACTCTGAAAGGGTTCAAAGAGACTTCCACTTTTAGCCAAGAACTGACTTTCTGTGCACAACAGAAATGAAATGCAATTTATTAGTATAATGTAAAAATGAAGTGAAAGCTAACATGATATGGTTATTGATTCACCTGTAAACATGATCTTGCTTGGAAGTACTTAAAAGTCCTGATTTATTACAAAAATGTGTTTGATGAGAACAGAAAACAAAGCCTTGTTGATATAATGAGAAGAAGAAAGGTATTAGGATAAAAGGGAACTCTAATGCTTATCAGCTAGGCAATATGCATCACATATTGTGATTCTTTGATTTCACTGAGTCCATTTTAATGCACCTCATAATGCTACCCTTCTGTGCATAAATTAAAAATATTGCGCTTAAATAGGATGTTTCATGTTGTGAACACAGAAGACAAAATTGTAGATTGTTTTTACACTAGTTTTTTGTTTTATATGTTGATTAGTTGTCTGAAGTTCTAAGTTAAACCATGTTGATCAACACAAATATGCATACTTTGAACCATGAGAAACTAATGATTTTGAAGCACATGTTTTTAAGTAATTCTACAATGGAATAGATTCATTCTACAAACCACCTTGCTTTGTTCTAGTATTTCCGTTCTTGGCATTTATGGAGGAATTGCCAGACAGTCAGAATACTGATCTGACCTGAACAGGAAAAATATGTATTATAACCTTGGGGGGAAAACATTTAGTAAGTCCTAGATTATGCCACATCCTGCTAATATTTCAGCTACTACTGTGGTTCCACTTTGACTCACGAGATTCCACCTTGGCTCAGTATCTGATAAATATCAACCCTGCCCACAATTAGGAAAGTTTTATCCTGTCTCTTTCTGCCCTAATTCTGCCTCATGTGTTGTGACCAGTGATATATTTGTATTGCTTTTATGTGTTATGGACATAAATTGCTTCAATAGTAGATGCACTTGTCATAGGGCAAATTGCTTTTGGAATTTTAAAATAACTATATTGCTATAAATCCTAAGAAGTTATGCCTAGTGCTTAAGCATACCGAAAGTAATTCTTCCTAGTTAATGTAATTTAAATGTCTTGTCTCCAAGCTCTAGATGAGTAATGCGTTTGGAAATTCCAGAGAAAATAGCAAGAAGCATTGTTGAAAATGTCTTGCCTAATACATTTTCCACCTTTGAATTTAATTTGTATGCCATGCAATTCTCCTTTTGTGGTGGGCTGTAAAATACAAGCCTTTGTATACTGTATTCTTCTGAATCAATTTAATAGCAGCAGCGAGAATAAAAAGCTACGTTTGCATGCCTGGCTGAGCTCAACTAATTTTAGTCAGTAAATTAGCCGAGTTGCTTACTTATTAGCATTTTGTGCGCTGTGTATCTACAGCGTAATTTTATTCTGTGACCATTAAAAATCAGAGTAGAAGAAATAGATTTGATATACAATGTTTTCACAGAGGTATCAGAGATAATCCACATGGAAGTATTGACATGTGGTACTAATAAAAAAAATGCACTGTGGAGAAAACGAGAAAAACATAGATGTGGGGCAGGTCAAATTAGCCCTCCCTTCCCAATACTTCTGTCCCCAAAGGACGCTTTTGGGGAGGAGGGATTGCTAATTTTCTTGGGGGATAGGGGGCATACTTTTATTTAATAGGAGATTATAGTGGGTCAACTACACTCTTTTTATACCCCTTTTCTTCAACCAAAAAAAGCTGTTGCTGCTTCCTTCATTCAGCAGCGATGCTTCAGTCAAAGCCTCCTGGTGATATCATTCCTCTTCCTAAAGAATGGCCCAATGGAGAAAATACCATGTAATGAAGCCATTCCAAAGTGGTGTTTTTTGATCCAACTATAAAAAATAAGTAGGGGGTCAAACCATATTCTGCATTATTTCATTAAGATTAAAACATTAATTAATGACTGTCAGAAATAGTGTTAAGTTTTTCACAATCTCAAGGCTCTTTCAACTTCAGAAGTGATCTTTCTCCCACCTCTACATATCAAACCTCCCTGAGATGACTCCTTTGACTTAATTCTGTTGTACATTGAGTCAGGAATGGTATGGGTAGGGTGTAACCTTTAATATTATATGTAAAGGACAGAAACGCTGTACCGACAAAATCAAAAGCTGGACAAAAATACACATTCTACATTTTGAGGCCTCAGCTCCTGCCCATTGCCATTTTAAATTGAGACTGGAGAATGGACACTTTTGGTATCTACTGGGGGTCCTGGCACCAGATACCAAAAGCTCACTATAATGTAATTCTGCAACTAACTAAAATTAAATGTGGTTTAAATTTATTGAAAATACACTACTTGCTGTCCACAGATGGAGTGTACAAGATTTACTGTTTTATATATATAGTTCATCCAGGTGTTTTCAGCATTGACTCAGCAACAACGCTTTCTCAGCAAAGTAGATGTCTACCTGGAAATTATTTCTTTAACAAAAAGAGATAAAACTAATATGGAACAAGCAGGGATAGGTTTCAAATCTCAGACAAAAAAGATTGGTTTAATATGTATTCATTCAGAACTAATGGAAACAATGAAACAACCAGGTCAGTTAAAACATAAAAATGAGAAAAAATAATTTGAACCTTCTACAGGTCACTTGAAAACTTCTTCAAAGTGAATATTTCACAAGCCTCCACTTTTCTTATGATTTCCATTTTGGTGGCCAGACTTGTAAATCCATGCTTTTTAGCATGCTAAAAATAGCTGGTGAATCAGGTTAATTCATTTCCCCATTTCCTTTTGTTTTGCTCTTCACACATGCTCAGTGAGGGATTCTAGAGGCAACTATTGTAGGCAGGTAACATAACGAGTATAGGAGCAAATGAGGAGGATCTCATTCCTTTCCAGCTCAAGTTTTATTGAACTGTTTACTTACTGTACACATTTTACTGCAACCTGGCAATTGAAATTCTGTGTTTCTCCAGGTCTTCACCACCACCATTCATTTCCAGGGCTGTTTAGAAGACCTTCCAGTTAGACCAAAGACAAAAAGAAAAAAAAGGAGAGGATCGATGAGCACAAAAATACTCCGTAGAGAGGAGTTTCTTTGATAGAAACTTTCTTACCTGAATCCCCATGGGGGGAGAGAGTGTAGAATAGAAATAAAGTTTTATTGTTATATTATATAAGTGTGCCTGTGTAAAATAGTTTTAAAGAAGTATTTATGTAATCATCAAAGTTACATTTTGCTTTCAGGAGCTAACCGTGTGACATTACAAGATTCCAACATTCTTCAACCAATGAGTCTGACAGTGTTAGGAAATCATCTATATTGGATTGACCGCCAGCAGCAGATGATAGAAAGAATTGAGAAAACGAATGGGTACAAGCGGGCCAGAATACAAGGTCGAATTGCTCATCTTTCAGGCATTCATGCAGTTGAAGAGATCGATATGGCAGAATTCTGTAAGTTTATTATTAATTACATACTTTTCTCTGGTGTTTTGTTTCATTCAAGTTTAATGGGTGCTAATATGTGATACTTTCACTATTTTAAAGATGTTTTCCTATAGGTCACAAAAAACTATTGTTAGTCAAAAATGACCTAGTTCTACCCAGAAAAAAATGGCTGCTGCTCAATTATTTTGGGGGCATAAATTAGTAGATTAGAGCCAGCATTTGACAGATTTAGAAGAGACATATTATGCAGAACCTAGGTGGATTTCACCAGTGAGTCCTTGACAATTTCTTAGAATTTGATAAAGTGCCAGAAACGAAGGAAGACAGTGCTGCTTGAAACATTAAGCATACCTCAATTTCCAGGCTATATTTAATAAGTCACATTTCAGAAGCTGTTTAATTTAGTTTGTATGCTTTCTTTTAGAGTAAAAAGAGGTCATGAAACAAAATGCATCACCATCAATGGCACACTACAAGCTCTTTCAGTTCTGCTGCTCCTAAGAGTAACTCTGGCCATTAGTTTTGTTGAACCTCTTCTGATGAAGCTACAATTAAATGGGTTTTTAATATTTTTGTCTTTAATGTGTTTTAGCAGAATATTTTGTATTGATGATGTTCAGGTGTTCTTTCTTCATGAGTTAAGTTTAATTTAAAAGTCCTACCGAATGTGTTTATTTTGATGTAATTGTCTGTATGGTATCTTTCTGGCAACTGAATATTTTGCCTTACATGTTGGAAACCGCCCTGAGACCCTTTCAGGAGATAGGGTGGTATACAAATAAAGATGATGATGATGATGATGATGATGATGATGATGATGATGATGATGATGATTACATTCTGAACATTAAACAGCTTCTTTTACATTTCTTCATTATTGCTCTTTCCCAAAATTCTTCAGTTGAAAAGTCCTAGGAAAGTATTTTGCTGGTTAAAAACTTGAGCTGTGTATCACAAAACTATACCCCGCCTAACATGTATAGAGAATTTTAGAGATGTTTTTAAAATGTTTCAAATGAAGCAAAAGAGAATGCATCAAGCCCATTTCATTTCATATGCTTTGTACCATTATCATCTTGTTCCAGAATCGTTCCAAATCCGTCAAGTAAACAAGAGTGCCTCAGATTTCTTCTGCCTTTTTCCAAAGTAGTCACAGGCTTTAAAAAAAAAACCCTCCACAACCTTGATGTACTAGATAGGGAATTTCAAAGAGAAGTAAAGTTTTCAACACTGGAAAAACTAAAAATGCTGCTGCCTTATTCCCATATTCCATAAGCCTTCTTCCCATGTGTGCCTGGTCCCCTTAGTATTTTAAAACATAACATTTTGGGGAGATCCGTCTCTCTTGGTGCTGAATGCTAGAGGGCTCCTGGAAAAGGCCATCTGGAATCCTGTATTAGAGTATTTCCATTATTCACTGTAGAGAAACAACACAATATTTGTTCTGGGTGCCAGTCTATGATTCTTTGGTGTCCTTTGCTTAAAACGAATGTGTTAACAGGATTACATAACAGTGTTTACTTGTTATTCCACAAATGTTAGTTTTAAGTGTATTTTTGGCTGTTTTTTATTTTAAAATTTAAAAAAATAAACAAGACTGGACATGTTGAGCAGCTCCTTATTTATTCAAGAGTCAGGTTACATCCTTTAAATCCAATTGGGAGCTAAGTTCAGGTCATCACCAAACTAATCTTTACCATCATCACTCACTTTTTGGTTCTGTGTAGTCACAGTACAAACCACATGGAATTCACACAGCTTCTCTTGCTCATCAGATTGGGATGTCTCCTGGAAGTACTAATAAAATGTGGGGGGAAAGACATGCAAGTTACCCAACAACTTGTTTTCAGCAAATTATTCAATTTAGGAAAGGTTTTTCTTGCAATAGATTCAGTGGTGGATATAGAAATAGGGAGATACTTTTCTGGTTCTTGCTGACCGACTACAAGCATTATGAGCAACTTTTCCAAGCATCAGGCATCTAACTTCAATAAGATAGTAGTTTAATCAGATAGTTTAACTCTCCAACCAGCCTGGCTAATTTCCCACCCCTCTGTATGCCTGTATATTTCACATCATCATTGCCATTTCTTTTTCATAGAGCTCATATATCACTGTATGTAATAGTATTATGAACCTATGAGTTGAATTGGGACTATTTAGAAGCAAAGACCAAACCAATAGTAGAGTGTCCTAGGTTTCATACCTGAATCAGCCGGTGGACATCAAAAACATACCTATTTTTTATTAGTGAGTTTCCTCCTTCAGTAAAATCCCCCCACCCCTGCTCCATATATCCATTAATTTATCTGCCTTTTGATCATGAGTAACACCCAAGTCCAAGAAAAAATATCAGTCAATAGCACTAGTTATTTAGGAACCTGCAGCTTTTGTGCTTAAATCCAGTGCATATTTACTTGAAATTAGCTCCCATGAATTTGGAGCCCCCAGTGGCGCAGTGGGTTAAACTGCTGACCTGCTGAAATTGCTGGCCGGAAGGTTGGTAGTTTGAATCCGGGGAGCAGGGTGAGCTCCCACGGTTAGGCCCAGCTTCTGCCAACCTAGCAGTTTGAAAAAATTGCAAATGTGAGTAGATCAATAGGTATCGCTCCGCAGTCATGCCGGCCACATGACCTTGGAGGTGTCTACGAACAGCACTGGCTCTTTGGCTTAGAAATTGAGATGAGCACCAACCCCTATTATTTACAAAAACAAACACACATCTTTGTTCCATCCCATAACATGTGCGTTCTCACACACACCTTTATGAAATGGCTCCAGTCTCTAATGCTAATGATGGATAATTGCAGTGGAAACGGGGAAAGTTTTGTCATTTGAGTTTCTATTTTTGGGTGGGTGAGTAAGAGAAATGTGCTAGAGAATCTAAGGGGATGGATGAACTCTGCCATTTTTGTAATTCTATAGAAAAAGATTTGTACTCTTTCAGGATAATTTTGGCCAAGTGTTTTTGACTATGTTGTCCATTGCATAAGCTTTGAGGGGTTCCATACAAACTTCAGATAAGGGGTTGAAGTCTGCATTTAGCTTGGAGAACATAGTTTCCCATGTATTGCTTTAGTTGTTCTTCATACAACTTCTCCAACAGCTACAAATAAACCAATAGCTTTTTCATTTTTTCTTTATTTATTAAGCTGCCCATCCTTGCTCCCGGGACAACGGTGGATGTTCGCACATCTGTATAGCCAAAGGAGATGGAACTCCTCGTTGCTCGTGCCCAGTTCACTTGGTTCTTCTACAGAACCTGTTAACATGTGGAGGTAGGTGATCCAAAAGAAAAAAATCAGTGTTTGGTTTTAGTAGATCTTACAAGTTTTTATGCTCCTGGGGGCAATCTTATGTTGGTTTTCTTGTGATTGACAATCAATACTTACATTACAAACACGATTCTGTTGCAAACTAAAAAAAAGATGAAGCAGAGTTTGCACAAACATTCATCTCATTTGACCTATGATATTAAATCTCAGATACTTTTAATACCTTATGGAGGAAATGATTATCAGAATGTATTGTGCATTACAGGTCAACAATTGTGTGGCAGATTGTAAACATTTACACTTGGATACTTTTCTGGTTCTTTGTCCATCAATATGAGGACAAAGGAAGGAAATATCATCACAAAACTGTCTCCTGATAAATTAGTTTTTTAAACACCATGTCTCCACAAGATATAGTAGGAAACTAGCATGGGAAAAATACACATCTGCTTTCCCTTCACTTTGTAAGAGTTATGTCTATTGAGATCTTCTGCCAGTTGAAGCTGGTCACAGTACTCTCTATTTTCTGATCACCCTTGTGATGTAAATCAACTGTGGATTGTATCTAGGAATCGGTGGGCCATTAATCAGATTATAAATTGGAGTACACCTCAACCTCCCCTCCAAAGACATTGGGCAGTTGACTCTGGAAGATTGCAGTCACCATATATTTTTCTCTGACTGACTTATTGGATCACTCTCATCTGAAAGGATTCTGGTAGTTTGGCATCCGCTTAGCTTTTGAATTTGCTTTTGACTTACTTTTGCTGGCATACTTACTCTCTGTCCAAATCATACTGGCTTGGGTGTTGGATGGTTTTGATTTTGCTTCCAAGTCCTTTTCTTGCTGGGAATAAGACAAGGAGGAGTCATCATAACCCAGAAATAACTAGTAACAAATAACAAGTGATCTGGAATTAAGTCTTTTCCCTGCCCATAATTGCAAGATATTTAAATTTATTTAGGATCCTGACATAATAAGGGAGAACCTCAGTCCTTTTCAGGTACAACTATTTTAGTCACTTATATAATTACAAAGGTGTGGCCCAACCACTTATGTATGAAAGGCGCCATGAGCCAGTGGTTTGTAATATTACACAAAATAATCATTCTGTTACTTTTGTAGAATGTAAAAGTCAAAGTTTACTTTCACATTGTACTAAAATGGTACCAAAAATGCCCTTTGGAATATGTCCTTGAAATTGTGGTTATAACTAATTACTTTTTAAAAGTCAGATTCCAAGCTCTGGTCGAAAGAGTTTCCCCTCATGCAAAACCACAGTGCAGTTGCCTGAACTGTTCATATGAGTTGGGTTTTTTAATTTTCAGAATTAAATTTATAGTCTGCCTTTTGAGGAGCAAAGGGACCTTTCTGCTTTAGGACTGAGACTCTTGTTCCCACAAACTTACAAGATACTTCGGGCTTTTAAAAAAATCATCCAGCTCTAGTGTCTATTTATGTGGGGGGGGGGGGAGTGTCTTATTTCAGCATATATATTACTTCTCTGTTATGGCTAAAAACATTTAATCAAATATTTGCAGATATATTTTCTGGAGAATCCAAAATATTTCATCTTGTAAGGAAGAAGCATTCTCCAACAGTTCATCTTACTGTTTCTCTTCTCGGGTTTACTTTGGAAATACTTGTTTCTCTTAAATGGTTTGTTTGCTGGACTATGAGCTCCCCAGAGAGAGTAATTTCCCTTATAAACAGTTTCTGCCTCAAGACCACAACATGCTTCGTGGTCTTGGCATTTTCATATCTGTTCTGCAGAAAATGAAAAAGAGTTTATTGGCTCGTGTTTCTCAGTTAGTAAAAGATCTCCAGTGTTAGACTCGTTCATCCTACTGCTTTGTTGCATTCTGCTGTAGCTCCAAAATAATGTCCTGTCCTCCATGCCAGCTCTCCCATTCTTTTAGCCTCCTACTTTTGTGTGTCTTGACTATAGTAATATGAAATGAAAGCCAAGTACTTCACAGTCATCACAATATCAACCAACATTTTTTTTAAAAATATATGTTTTGTTTTGTTTTTTTGTTTTTTGGTTTTTTTTATCATTTGCATTTTCATGGCAAATTATCCATGGTGGACATACACATCCTGTGGATAGGAATGGGAAATGTTTAGTCATTTGTTGTTAGACTGCAGCCTCTATCGGATATATCGGCCATTCCCAGTAATAAGGGCTCATGAAGTTTGGAGAAGTGCACCTTTCTGACCCTTGATGGAGAAAGAATTAAGCTATAATCACTCTGTCCAGGGAGAAACAGGAATTGATATTATTACGGAATATAGTATGAAAATATTCTCTTTTTTCATTTATGTTAAATTTTTCTGGGTTTCTTTTTCATCCAAAATTGTTTAATGCTTTAAAAGACTTTAAAGTAAGTGTACATTTCTTCCCCAGAGCCTCCAACATGTTCTCCAGATCAGTTCACGTGTGCAACAGGGGAAATAGACTGCATCCCAATGGCGTGGCGCTGTGATGGATTCTCTGAATGTGATGATAAGAGTGATGAAGCTAACTGTCCAGTCTGCTCAGCAGACCAGTTTCAGTGTCAGAAAGGGCAATGTATCGACAGACGTTTGAGGTGTAATGGAGAAATTGATTGCCAAGATAAATCCGATGAAACTGACTGCGAAAGTAAGACATGTCCTCTTTATTGATCTGCTAATTTTTTTCAGAGATAAGGCATAGAAAAGTTATTTTAGATTACAGTGTCCACGGTCCTCTAGCCACCATGAGCTTTTTTCTCCCCAAGTTCTTATCCAAAGTAAGCCATTTCTCAGGTTAGCCATGATATTGTGCCAAACAAGTACAAATTAAGGCAACATAAAAGCAATCCTTGACTCCTTACAGATGCCATCTATGTTTGTCACAGTAGCAGTTTCCCCCTTCCTTGTCTTCCTCTGTTGGATTACTAGAAGGGCTGTGGCTGCTAAGCTGAATGGCTGTTATAACCCATATCACTCATATATTGCCATATAGACTAGGAACTCTTTAGGCGGTGTTAATTGCTTTTTCTCTGCAGGATTTGGCATTGTCAGGAGCGACTTGAGAAACTGCAAGTCACTTCTGGTGTGGGAGAATTGGCTGTCTGCAAGGACGTTGCCCAAGGGACACCCGGATATTTGATGTTTTACCATTCTTGTGGGAGGCTTCTCTCATATCCCTGCGTGGGAAGCTGGAGCTGACAGAGGGAGCTCAACCCTCTCTCCCCAGATTTGAACCGCTGACCTATTGGTCAGCAGTCCTGCTGGCACAAGGGTTTAACTTATTGCTCCACTGGGGTCTCCTAATTAAACAGTGAAGCATATATTTAATTTGCACGTAGATAAAAGTGAAGTGTTTGTACAGTCCTGGAGGCTTTTACAAATATTATTTAATTTTAGCATAACAATCTATCATTTGATTTGGCTGAGAATGATAACAGCTTGTTCTATTGTCCTTTCCTTTTCAGCAATTTGTCACCCAAATGAGTTTCGATGTGCCAGTGGCCAGTGTGTTCTTATGAAACAGCAATGCGACTCTTTTTCAGACTGCATTGATGGCTCTAATGAACTTGCATGTGGTAAGGAAATTCATTTTGCTGCTTTATTTCTAGATTCTGGATGATATTGTTTATTTCTGAATGTTTCTGTGAGAAATTAAACATGGGTTGAGAGAGGGGGATCTCTTTTTTAAAGGACTGTGGAGATCCAAAAAGATACTTTTCACATTTGGCTGTCGATCTGTCTTGTCTGTTTCTCCCTCACTTTCTTTCTTTCTGTGTGCATGTAAAATGCAACGTCCTTTAATACTGTTCTGTAGTGTTAAAGAAATCAGTGGTTTATAAAAACCTAACCCAGTCCACATCCTGTCGAGGAATTGCTGTGCTGCAATCAGGCCCCCAACAAGAAGTAGCCCAACAGCAATTTTCAAAAGGCCAAAGCGGATGCAATTATTTTTGTCTGAGCCTTTGGTAGTGGCTAAAATTGGCTTCAGTCCTGTGTGGTTTGTATTAACCATAAATACTTAGAGAAGAGTTTTGGATAATAGTAGTAGTACTATTCTCTCAGCGCTAGGACCTATACATGGGGGGAAACCTAGAGAAGAAAGCTCTGAGATAATCTCAGAAAGCTTGGAGTAGGAATTAAATAGGGAGAGTAAAAGGTGGTGCATTGGTTTGAATGTTTGTATTACGAATCTGTAGACCAGTGTTTGGATTCCCACTCAGCCATGGAAACCCACTTTCTCAGCCTTAGAGGAAGGAAAAGACAAACCCACTCTGAGCAAATCTTGCCAAGAAAACCCCATGATAGGTTTGCCTTAGGGTCACCGTAAGTTGGGAACTCTTTGAAAGCACACAACTAAAAACTCAATTCTGTACCTATAAGCAATAACATTAAACTGCAGTAGAAGCAATCTATATAAAGTAAAATTGGGTCCATATGAGGAAATACTACAGAACCTTTCCCAACGTGACACCTTCTAGATTTTGGATTGCAGTTCACACCATTGTCCACATGCTGTTTGGGAACGGTAGATCTCTACCCCAACACATCTGAAAAGCACAGGTTAGGGAAGGAGCAATTCATGTTAAAAGCAGGGATGGTTAATGGTTTAGTTGTATTTGGCCTAGAGCTGCAATAATCCTTCAGCATTAGCTATGTTGGGCACTGTAAATACTACCATTTTTGTGCCCAGACATTCTAAAAAGGAGCTTTCATTTTTGATAAAGGTTATTACAGTATTAACACATATCAAAAAGGGAACCATCCTCTTTTATGAGTTGAGTGGTGAGAGTCTAATCTGGGGAAACCTAAAAGAAACACTGACTCCCGACCCCATCTCCACACTTCTATGAGGAGATGAGCAAAAGAGCTATCACTGCCATTTTTCTACCCAGGCATTGGTGTCATTAGGGATGGTGTCATCCCAGTGCAATAATAATGATCCCAGTGGAGCCCCCGGTGGTGCAATGGGTTAAACCCTTTTCGGTCAGCATCCGGGGAGAGCAGGTTGAGCTCCCTCTGTCAGCTCCAGCTCCCATTGCAGGGACATGAGAGAAGCCTCCCTCCCCCAAGGATGGTAAAACATCAAACATCTGAGCATCCCCTGGACAACGTCCATGCAGATGGCCAATTCTCTCACACCAGAAGTGACTTTTAGTTTTTCAAGTTGCTCCTGCCATGAAAAAGTGCAATAATATAGTGTCACCCCCCAAAACATCCTCGAATACCAAAATCTCTGAGTTGTGCTTTTCCCTCTGGGCTGCTCAGAGTAAGGGAGGTTACTCATTGGTAAGCAAACAGAAGTGCTCCCCTTGGCCATTACTCATGCTGGGTATATTCGCGCTGTTTTATCATATTGTTACTTCATGCTTGATATGTAATCAGTAGTTTGCTATAGAGTGTTATTCATCAATACTTGGCTTGCTATGTGCCTTTAACAAAAGTATAAATTGCTAATGGAAATTTGACTATATTCTAGAAGCTGTTTGCTGAAGCTAATCGTCAGAACAGTGTCTCTTGGACAGGGTATCAAAATAATTCTAATTTATTTTGTTTTGTTTTTATAGCAAAAATTAAACCATCCTTAGATGAATCTCAGCCTCACAGTAGTGCTATTTGGCCTGTTATTGGTATCATCCTTTCCATTTTTATCTTGGGAGGGATGTACTTTGTTTGCCAGCGAGTAGTATGTCAACGTTATGCTGGGCCCAACGGACCTTTCCCACATGAATATGTCAGTGGTACACCTCATGTTCCTTTAAATTTTATTGCTCCAGGGAGTTCTCAGCATGGCACTTTTACAGGTAAGAATAGAAGAATATGATACAATTTTAATGATATATTCCTTGTATATTTTTAAGCCTTCAAAATCTCTCAAATAGCATCTTGGTTAAAAATATGATTGTCACTGCATTTCTGCTGTCATGGCAATTTAATATTGTAACATGTTCAAAAGAGGAGATTTTTGAGATCTAGATTCAAATCAGTACTTTACTTTTATCTCTCTCTATAATGTTTGTCAATCTGTTTGCCTTGTGTACCGGTTCCCATCAAGTTCTAGTAATTAAGAATGGACAGAAATCCCTGGAGCAAGAAATTGTTTTATTTGGTAGCTTAAGAGCCATTGGCCTCAGTCTAGAGTTTTGTCTCGGACAATGTAGACCAGTGGTTCTCAACCTGTGGGTCACCGGATGTTTTGGCCTTCAACTTCCAGAAATCCTAACAACTGGTAAACCTGATGAGATTTCTGGGAGTTCTAGGCCAAAACACCTGGGGACCCACAGGTTGAGAACCACTGGTGTAGTCCAACTGAATCAATTGAATTTATGTAAGTGCATATTGATGAACTTACCGTTGGATCAGTCCATTTTTTCAGGTGGGAGTAACAATTGGATTGAGGTCCACTGTGTAAAGGTGGTAAAGTAGCTTTTTGATAAAAGATATTTTCAGAATACAGAAATGTATGCAACCATAATCATTGCCTGGATTGATTTCATAGTGTGCGTCTGTATGTATGTGTGCCAGTTCTTGGCTAAACTTCAGTCCATTTTCATCTCTTATATCCATGTAGGCATCTCCTGTGGAAAATCTATGATTAGCTCCATGAGCCTTATGGGAGGAAGTAGTGGTGCACCTCTTTATGATAGAAACCATGTAACCGGGGCCTCATCTAGTAGCTCATCTAGTACTAAAGCCACTTTCTATCCACAGGTAAGTTTGGAAAATACGAAAAGTCACCCTTCCTCTATTTATAATTGTGCAGTAAACATGAAATAAAATGTCAGTCAGTGAAGGTTATACTCAAAAGATGTAGACAGAACTTGGAAAAGCTACAGTTCAGGACTACAGTTCCCAGAATCCCCCAAGCAGCATGAGTACTACTAGGATTCCAGAAGTTGTAGTTACAAAAAGTAACTTTTCACGGGTCTTCTTTCAGCCTTTAAGTTGTTGAAGGTGTTGCCTCATTCACTTTGCTAAACAGTAATGAAACAGCTCCCTTGAGAACAATCCCAAAGCGTTTAGTCCAACTAGGGAGTCTACTAATGAGTAAACAGTGATCAGTTTAGTAGTGCATGCTTTTGTTAAAACCTTTGAGAACATTCCTGAGTGTTTGCATTCCTATATCTTTCTCCCCCTCGCAATGTGTAATCATTCTGTGTTTGCCACACTTTTTGATGTTGCTGACCTATTCAGACACTTGGTACTAGGCAGTCCCAGAAGCGTAAACCAGAGTGAGAAAACAAAGGGAGATGCTCCGTCAGAGATGGTGGAGGGCCTCAAAAGCTAAACATTCCATCAGTTGTTTATTTACATTGATTTTGTCTTGGATCAGCATGAGCCAATCGAAATTCCCTGAACTGTTTTCCCATAAACAAAAACAAAGCAGTAAAGAAAAGCAGAAGGTGGGAAAACAATTAGGACACATTATTCTGAGCTGTGTTTCAGAATCCAGTGTTAAGGGAACAATGCCTCTCTAGCCGTCCTATTCAATTTTGCCTTTAAGCAAGTAAATCCAAGCCATTTATGTCAAAGTTATGGTAGATTTTTTTTAAAAAAAAAACCTACATAGCAAAAGCAGTAGAAAATATGTGATTACAACTATTCATTATTTCACAACAGTCCCCTTTAAATATAAGAAGTGATTAAATGCCTGTTTTTAAAGATATCAGTTATTAAAATGATAATATTTTTTAGAGATGCCACTGTTCAAAAAGATGAGTATTTAGGATCTTTTGGAAAACCAGGAATCTCCATAGCCTTTTGGAAGTGTGATTCTTTTGGAGATTAATTGGCATTCACACTATCTGGAATAATCATAACCTTTTGGAAAGGCATGACCTTGTTAGAAATCATAACCTTTTGGAAAGTATAATCTTCCTGAGAAGAGTTAAAAACTTGCTTTAGTCAGTCTTCTCCTTAGTGGTAAATAATATCCACTAGTATTCATGCCGGGCAATTTAGGTTTCTCAACGGTTAGACTGATATCTCTGGTTATCTCTTTGAACTGTGAGGAACAAAAATATGCCAATGCATAAAATATATATGTAGCAGATCTTCAGAAGTGTTATTTCAATTACCCCAAAATATCTATTCTCCCATAAAATATATTGCTTTCAAATCATGCTCTCAAGAGACCAATAACAAGTAGTCTTTGTTAAAAGTTAACATAGTTGATTTACTTACAAACTTCATGTATTAGCATACAGGCACATTGGTTTCATGTTAACTGACTCATACAGACTTAATATAAACTGACTACTCACTGGAGCATACTGTACTATACTTCTGATGCAAACATCAACTATACTTCTCATGCAAACAGTCTCAGACTATAACTGAGATCAACGGACTTAACCGAGTTCCAGCTGACTTCTGATTCAAATGGATTCTAAAATGCAGTCTCACTCTGAATATTCTCAGATCTGGGCCACATTGTCTGTAGCCCCGACCACAACTTCAAATAACATTATAGAGTTAAGGAAAAACTGCATGCCAATATATACATACTATATAGTAAGCAGTCTCAACCATATACACAACAAATAACTAGTACAGGAAGCTTGTAGAAGGTTGCTGTTTCCAATAGGATCCTGGTAAATTTATTAACAAAAACAAAAGGAAAGGTATTGTCAAAGGCTTTCATGGCCGGAATCACTGGATTGTTGTAGGTTTTTTGAGCTATATGGCCATGTTCTATAAGCATTCTATCCTGACATTTCGCCTGCATCTATGGCAGGCATAGATGCAGGTGAAACATCAGGAGAGAATGCTTCTAGAACATGGCCATATAGCCCGAAAAACCTACAACAACCCAAAAGGAAAGAAGAAGAAAAGGAGGGGGAATACTTTGGTTGAGTCATACTCTCTCAGCTTCCAAGTCAATGGCAAAATCTTCTAAGCAAATTTTGCCAAGAAAACCTTGTGATAGAATCTCCATAGATCAGAAATGACTTGAAAGTGCACAACAAGAACAACAACAAATATTGAACACTTCTGATGGAATTTCTACCATGCTTTGTCTTTTTGTCAAATTCATAATTGGTTCCTCTTGTTATCTGGTCATCCCAAGGACATGCAAAAGGTCTCTTCTTGAAATTTTGTTTACGAACTCCTCCATACAAAAGCCAGAATGATTTTCAGGCCTTTTGCTCCACCCAGAGATATTAGCTATGAACCCATGATTCCTGCTTTATGCCTCCACAGATCCTGAATCCACCACCTTCACCAGCCACCGACCGTTCCCTTTATAACACAGAAATGTTCTATTCCTCAAACATTCCATCAACAACAAGATCTTACAGGTAAGCGTTTATCATATAATGTTGATACCAATGGTGTAAAAAATTTAATTAAACTTTAAAAAACCATCTTTTGTTCTATTTTAATTCTCTCTGTTTTTAACATACCAGTCTAGAGCAGGGGTCCTCAAACTAAGGCCCGAGGGCCAAATACAGCCCTCCAAGGTCATTTACCCGGCCCTTGCTCAGGGTCAAGCTAAGTTTCAAATTACTTGAAAGCACACAACAACAACAACAACAACAACAACAACAACAACCCTATCTCATTAGCCAAAAGTAGGCCCACACTTCCCATTGAAATACTAGTAAGTTTATATTTGTTAAAATTGTTTTTTTGCACTACGAATAAGATATGTGCAGTGTGCATAGGAATTCATTCATGCTTTTTTCAAATTATAATCTAGCCCTCCAACAGTTTGAGGGCCCCTGGTCTAGAGCAAAGATAGAGAACCTCTGGCCCTGCAAATGTTTTTGGACTTGAATTCAAAGATGTCCCATCCAGTATGTTCAGTTGCAAAGGGGCTGTATGAATTTCAGTCCAAAATATCTGGAAGGTCAAAGATTCCTCACTCCTGATGCAGAGTAAAATGTAGCTGACATAGCACTGATGCCAGTGGACTTGACTTTAGCACCTCCACTACAAATAGCCTATATAAGTACACATGCCATGTATGTATTTTAAGATTTATTTTAAAATTCAAGAATGTGTTGTTTTAGGAAATCGCAAACCACCCATTGGCTATGCTCCCAGAATGGTCTGGCACTGGAAAACAAAAACAATGTAAAAGATAGATATTGTCCCTAAAATACAATTAAAACAAAAATCATCAGCAGCAAAAACCTACTTAACTGTTAAGTCTTAAGAGGGCAAAAACAGTTTTGCCAAGAAGGTATTAATGTTGGCCTCAGAACATAGGCAGGCTGATAGAGGATAAAGGATGTGCTAGCATGAATCCCCAATAGGCAACCTTGGTGTCCTAGCTTCCTCTTAATCATTGTCATCCTTGAGACAGATAAAAAGAAATGGTCATGTTTGTACACCTCACCTTTCTCTGTTAAGAAGAATGCCTTTTAACATTTATTTTTAAATCATTTTTCAGGCCGTACCTGATCCGAGGGATAGCTCCACCAACCACTCCCTGCAGCACCGATGTATGTGACAGTGACTACACAACAAGCCGGTGGAAAGCCAATAAATACTATATTGATCTCAATTCAGACTCAGACCCCTACCCCCCGCCTCCTACTCCCCGCAGCCAGTACATGTCAGCAGAAGAGAGCTGCCCGCCGTCTCCGGCCACGGAGCGAAGTTACTTCCACCTCTACCCTCCTCCCCCATCCCCTTGTACAGACTCTTCATGATTTCAGCAGAAGGAACTTTTCTTTTATTTCTCCTGTAAATATATTTTAAATATGAACAAAGATTTTTAAATATATATTTTATGATCTAAAATGGGGTGGGAACTTTTAATAATGTGAATAAAAATGGGTGGGTCAGGGCTGTGAAAATTGTACAGCAAAAGAATATTTATAAGATGTGTTTTTTTAACTTAATATTCATTCTTTTGTGCCATATTTTGCCTTTGCATCGAAGTCACACAATTTAAATTGACCTCCAAAGGAGGCAGTAAGTGGGGAATATATACTGAGAGCTTTTTGAAATCACCATTTTGATTCAGTAAAGGGGAATGTGGGGTGGTTGATTTTTTGGCTTTTGTTTTGTTTTGTTTAAATATCAAAAAGAGGAGTAAGTAATACTGTGTGAATGAAAGGGAGTGGTGTTTAAATACACGCACAGGAAATTCAAAATGTTTGCTTTAAGGGATACTTGATCATAGGTAGTTAACCACAAATATGCACTTTCTTTTGGAACGCTGAATGCAAAAAGAGGCCCCTCCTGTTGTATTTATTCCATCGCCATTTTGCTTTCCAAAAGAATCAGTGCCTAAGAAAGCTTGCACTCACTTTATCATTTAATACAAACCACTCTTAATAGGACGAAATGAGCATGCAACTCCACTGGGCAATCTTTACACAAAAACTCCCTTTAGGATTCTGACAATCTCAATGTAATATTTAATTGGAAAAGCTGATGAATCTTCAACTTTTTGCGGAAGCCCATACATTCAGTTTAGCAGTTGTCAAGAGGTATGCAGTCATGGGACTCGTGATTCAAATAGAAATAGAGAAATTGGGAAAAGGTACCACTATTCATTGTTGTGCTTTTCTGAAAAGTCACTCTCGCCCTGAGACGAATTAGTCCCCCTGATCTGTGAGTGCCAGTTGCTCACGGCACTCCGTCCCTCATTTCTAGCCCCAGGAACCATTGTGTGAAAATTCAAAGTTTATAATTTTATTTACAAAAAATGGGACAGCTGAATAAAAATGTTTTGGCTAAAATTGTGTCCCTAGTTCATTGAGAAGGACATTTATATAATTGTTTACAAATTGGATATAGCAGGTACCTGCTTAGAAGAATCATTCTTCCTTCTCTTTCAGGAAGGAATGCTTCTTTTAGGATTTCTGCTGACTTTTTTCCTATGTTGAGAAACTGCAAGTCGCTTTTGGAGTGAGAGAAATAGCCGTCTGCAAGGACGGTGCTCAGGGAACGCCTGGATGTTTTTTGATGTTTTATCATCCTTGTGGGAGGATTCTGTCATGTGCCCATATGGGAAGCTGGGATTGACAGGTGGGAGCTCACTCCATCTCGCAGATACAAACCACTGACCTTCAGATCAGCAGTTTAGCTGGCACAAGGGTTTAACCCATTGCACCACCGTGGCTCCTACTGCTGACTGAAAGTTGACAAACTTCAAATTGGATTTAAAACTCCGAAGGTTTGACAGATTTGGCTTATTTTTCATGAAATTGATGAAAAGAATATTTGCATTAACTCCACCTAGAAGGGATGAAATTGCCTCATAATCACAGAGGTAGAGGAAAGCACCTCTGTGCTAGATGCACCAAATCCAGAGCTTATGGCTAAAGCATATTAGATATGAATATCCAGAATGCCTATCCCTGGCTATTTCATTGGTTGTGATGGAAACTGAAAGTAAATGTTCTGAAATTACTTCTATTTTTCAGTAGATTTTTTCCCTCATATTCCTGGAACATACACCATTGAAACAAGTATTTGCCCTTTTTCCGAGTGTCATCCCTGTCTTTTGTAGAGTGTAATATGAAATCTCTTCTCAGATAACAGTTATACCATTAACTAAGACATCTGTAGCTTAGGAGCAGCATGTCAAAGTTATGCATGACCCTGGGGCCTCAATAGCAGCTTGTGGTACTAGTGTAACATTCCAGCAATACTGTTTTGGTACTGGTTCTGTGGTTTGTGTTGCAGGCACAACTGTAGGCGTCTCCCGTCCTAATAGTGATACATCAGGTTTAAAGGTCAGTCTATTAATGAGTTTCACTCTCCAACACCTGGTTTCTGCTTATCAGGGCACAGTGACTCCCAGCTGATACTTCTTGATGCACATATGAACCGTTCAGCTTGTGGGGGTCTATTTTTGTTATATGCAGAGCCATTTTCACCTTGGAACTGAGCAATGAAGTCCTGTTCATATATACTCTCCAGCAGCGTGTGGCCTGAGGATGGGATTATTCCCTATTTTATGACTATGGGATGATCTCCCTCTTCATACCATGGGGAACCAGCATACAGGCAGTCCCCAAGTTACAAACAGGATAGGTTCTGTAGGTTTATTCTAAAGTTTAATTTGTTTAAAGTCAAAACAGATACATTTTTAAGTGTATATAGCTGTGGTGTTTGTTTTGCTGCGTGTGCTCCTGTTCAGATTTCACCTCATTTTCTGTCCATGTGACAAATTGGAATTTAAAAAAATGTGGTTTGCTGTGGACACAAGGATTGATGCGAGAGCTTCAGTTGAGACACCTTTCCCCCGATAACTCTTTCATGAGTCAATTTCCCTTCTGAGGGATAGATTTTCTCTCACTTCCTGTTGTCTCACCCCTATTCTTAACTATGAGTCATTTGTAAATCAGTTGTTTGTAACTCGGGGACTACCTGTGTAGAGCAGCTCTCTGGACAGGCAAGAAGAGAGTGCTGGTCAAAGCTCAGGCCTTTTGCTTGGTGATACTCCTTTTCAGGGGAGTTTCTTGAGAGAAACAGCAGTACTACTTGCTCTACCTTACCTGTATATTTGCATTTTTGTATGCTCTTATTGCTTTCTGCAGAATGGTTGGAAGCCAAGATCTCTAAAAGCTACAGTGCAAAAGGAGGGGGAAAGAACCAAAAGCAGTCTGTTTTCACAGCTGCCGTGGGCTTTTGACAATTTTAGCCAGTGAAAAGATGGGAAATGTTTCTTTTAAAACTCATAGGTGGACTTTTAACAAATGAAACATTACAATTTGATATACAACTATCCTTGTCAGGTATTTCATATCTTTTTAGAGTGAAGTTTTGACTTCTAATTTCTTTTGCTGTGCCATTCTTTACATCTATCTGTTTTCCCTTAGCCTTTCGAACTCGCTGCTTAATTTCAGAAAAGTTACTGAGACCCTGGGTGGGGTGTCGGAATAATATCAATTTCTTCAAAGTCAGCATATTGCAAAGACACATCTTTCACTCCTCTAACAAGCTTCAATATTAAGGGGAAAGATCTGTAAATTTAGTCATGTCTGTGCCCATGGATACTGCAAAAAATTCCTTTCATTATTTAAATTTTAGAATGCCGTGATATGGTGGCACTGCTCGTCGCAATGCAATGCAATCTTAATGTTTCTAGTTGCTATCTATTCTCGACAGATTTCTTATTATACATAATGATAGTGTTATAAGGCATGAGAGTCTGGTTCTATCCTATGGTCTCATATCTTACTGATAAATACAGCATGCACATATATTTTACAATGGAGATATTGTCAGTCAGTTGTTTGGCTTTGGCATAACGGTGTTCAGTATTTTGTGTGGCATTTGTAAAGCGGCTGCGCTATTTAGCTCTTAACTTTACAGATCTTGATTACATATGCATGGCAATTTCCAGTTGTCTTACAAGTGACACCGAACATTAAAAGACAGATTTCTCTGAGCTATTGAGTTCTCTAAAGCAAAACAAAATAATAAATTCACATTATTAGCGGTGCTTACCTTCTTTTCTGGTTGAGAGCCCTCTTCCATAATGAGCTACTGTTGTTCTGCAGAATGAATTTAAGGTTATAGTAGTCAGGTTGCATTTCTCATGTGTTAGCTTGTGCAAACATTTTCATTTGCTTTTGAAGGAACAAAATTGAACCTTCACATTTCATTTCATTTTTCCCCTACAGCATTTTAGCAATGCAAGGCATAAATCACTTTTTATGCAATCCATAGCTTTTAAAATGGAGCTGGGAATCTCTAGATGCAGTTAGACAGAAGCTGCCAGCATTCCTCATACGCTTTTTTTTCTTGACAAAAGTTGCATTTAATTGAGGGAAGTTCCACTGATTTCCAGGAAATCATTGAACACTTACTGAATTGTAGTTTCTGAATTGTGTTGAAATGCAGGAGCGTTTTCTACAAAGCAGCATAAACCCATGCAGAGAATTAAAATGCTACAGATTATGAGGGCATCAATTCTGCAAGGCCTCGTGGCTAAACAAATAACCATAAAAGTATTATCTCTTCTGGTTCCAGTTCCCAAATAACTTGTTACAACTAAATCTTTTTGACTAAACTAGTTTTTACAACATTTATCACTGAATTCCACATAATATGTCTTGAATGAAGAACATTTTATTTTGTGCCTAGTGAGAATCCCTGTCTTTGAATAACTTAGAGTAGTTAACCCAGGATAAAACATCCCTGCTTTATTGATTGCCAGGAAGTACATTTCCAGAAAGCGAAATTGCAGAGAAATTGTGGCTGCCCTGGATTTTCAGTATTATGTGTGATCCCAGGCAGCACTATAGCTGTAGTACAATTCATTCCCTTTTTTTGTCAACTTGTAGTAATGGGAAGATGTGGTTTGTCAATTAAAGGATACAGACTGAAAGTATTTTAAGTAGATTGGAAGGTCAACCACTGAAACACGACTTTGGTGATGGCAAAATAATTGGCTCATAGAAATGGTACTTTGAGTTCAAGCCCTCATTTTTAATACTTCCATTGTGTTAGCAGGTTAAGTCATCCATGCACCTGGATTTCACAGTAAGCTGACAAATGTATCTATTAGAAAGTAAGATGCATCAGGTCATTTTCAAAACTTGTAATCCGGTTTGCTTATTTTCACTTTCTTGTAATATTTCCTTATAATTGGCCAGCACATGACTTGCTTGAATTTTTTACCTCTTTGGATCAGATTGGTGGAAGCTCATTTTGAAGACCTTTTTTTTAACCAAATATATATTGAGTGTTTAAAAAGTCCCAAATCTTTTGCCGGGTCCTCTGTAGCTCTTGTTGATCTGGATCCGATTAGAGCAGCCATGAGTATCTATCAGGGATTGGGGGCTATATTGTGCCCAAGGAACATTGGACTGCTGCACCCCCATCTGGCATGATGTTTACCATCAAATGCCATCAGTAGCCCCAAGGAAGCACCAAGGGAGATCAGAAATCGAATTTGATCATCAAACCAGCTGTGTAAAAGAATTCCACAGCCCTGAATTTGCATGATCTGAGCAGCGCTGGCGCTTTTCTCTCATTCATAAAATCACCCTTAGTGACAAATAGCAACAACAGATGCCAGAATACTGTTTTGGAGAGCCATGGTGGATTTAAAGAAATAATAAAGTTTACAAAAAGCTCATTTGAAAATCTTTAAAAAATAAAGCAGTCCCCTGTGGTTATCTTTTCCTTTTCAGCGTGTGTGTGTGTATGTGTGTGGGAGTGTATGTGTGTTTGCATGGGTGTTGTGGACAGAAAGGTGTAATGTCAGGCTGAAATTGTAAAATAGTATTTGTGGAAAATTCATTGTAAGCAATGTAATTGAAATATTGGCAATTAGAAACAGAATAGTTGGTTGATTTTAAAAAAGCACCTATTTGCTTGGAACAAAAAGAAGCAAAATTAGAATTGCCAGTTTCCAATCTCAAGATTCTTCCTTTGGTCTTGACGCTGCCTGCTATGTTATGAGGCAGAGCAGCCAGCCACTTCCCCTGTCTTGCTTCCCATTGGACTTGTTGCCTAGCATTTGTCCTGCTTGCTGTACAGTACACTTCTTGTTATAGCAGTTTGAGCTGGACAGGTGAGACATGTAGAAGGCAAAACCAAGGGGAAGTGGAGCAGCTGCCACATCACCCAATTTAAATGAGACCTTTCAACGTACAAAGATGGATGTCTTGGTTGGCACTTGGCAACTGAAGAAAATACCTAAAGGTGGGAAGTGCTTTGCTGTTACATATGAAATTAAGAGGGCATTCTAAACAACAGCATCCTAAAACCAGGCTGCTTTCTGTGTTGTATCAAAATATTTTGCAATTGCTGCTAATGTAAATTTACATGAACATATACCAATATTGCCGAGAATTGTTATAATAAACTCACACCGATTTGTTTTGTATTTATATTGTGAAATGTATTCTGCAAACACCCTAAATATTCTAGCTTTATACTCTTATCCTTTTTGTAGACTCTATTAGTCATAACACAGAAAAAAGTGCCTTTGGTATTTTTAAACACCCTATCATATTGACTTGGGCAGATGATAACAAAGCCTTAAAAAGCAAATAGCCTTTTCTTCAATGTACTCCGCTGGTTAATTTCTCACCAAACATTGTGTTGCAAAAATGTATTAATGTGCTCAATTCATTCCAAACAAAGGCATTCATGGGATGGTGGAACAAAGCTTATTTATACATCCTTAATGCAGACATCTCTAAATATTGACTTAGAGAGTTGATGTGATTTTTGAGCAAATATTTCCAAGTATCCTGCTCAGAAATGACGATATTTAAAAGGGAGCTTCCAACCAAACAACGTACCTTCTTTCGTCTTATTTCATATTTTACATGTTACATTATCAGTGTAAAATAGTGGTAACAATACTTTTATAAAATGCACCATTAGAGTAACATTGTTTCAAGGTTTGGTATGCACAAAACTATTGAAAATTTAAACCATGAAATTCCAGGTGATGTATCACGAGCAGAGGAGTTATTACAGTTACTCTTTAGAGCAGGAGTAGGGAGAATGCAGCCCTTTAGATGCCAGAAAGCTACTCCAAGCATTGGTCTGCGTTGGCTATGCTGACTAGAGCTACTGCAGCTTGCGTTACAACTATATTTAGAAGCTGTGCCATTCCCACTCCTGATTTAAAGGATGCCATTCAACATATAGAAAGAACTGGTGGAAATACCCTTTACCCTACAAATACACACTGCAAACTTTTATACAAGCCGTTTGACAGCAAACAAAACATGGTCCACTCAGGCATAAGCACCTATAGATCCTGTTGGTTCTAACCAGAGAAAAATATGCTTATCTTTCCTCACTTGATTCCATTAGACATGAAAGTGCCTGTCTTTGGCTAGGATTGTAACTTTTTTAATGAATTGTACACAATAAGCTCTTGACATTGCAACCTATAGATCGTTCCATAACACTGCTAGATTTCTGTTTGACGTTACTGGCTTTGTGTATAAAATACTTGTAAAGTTAACTCTTTGCATTTTGTATTTATAGATTTTGTCAATTTTGTTTTGTAATTAAAACCTTGGAAAAAATGTTTGACACTGCCCGGCATAAATGATTTTTTAAAAATCAAGTATTGTTGAGAGTGTGTTTTTCTCCCTGGGGAAACTATTTTCAAATAAAAGGGTACAAACAAAAAGCTGGCTGCCTAATGCTATGAAATGAATTCTGGCTTATGCTATGGCACTGCAGAGCAGTGGTTTTCAACTTGTGGGTCCCCAGAGGTTTTGGCCTTCAACTCCCGGAAATCCTAACAGCTGGCAAACTGGCTGGATTTTCTGGGTGTTGTAGACCAAAACACCTGGGGACCCACAGGTTGAAGACCACTGCTGGAGACTTATTTTTTTAAAAAAGGCTCACCTCTTTTCCATTAAACTTGGTCCATGCATTTTGCATGAGCAATTATAATACTATGTTCAGGTTCATGCTACTGTCCTGTTACATCTGGAAGAGGCTTTTTTGGTCGTTTCATAAAATCTTGGCATAATCATACCATCTTCCAAGGGGGACATGGATGATGAAAAAAAAAGGAGAGTGACTTTTTGAGAGTGCAACTCCCATCCTTGATCAGTAAATTGTTTTGTCATTACTGTAGCACTGTCATCCTTTTGGCACCATTCCTCCCCCATTCCCACACATTTGCTGGGGGGGCAGTTAGTTTGAAATAGTGGCTTGAGCTCTAATTTATTCTTGAGATGGACTTTTTACATTCTGTTGTTTATTCGTTCAGTCGTTTCCGACTCTTTGTGACCTCATGGACCAGCCTATGCCAGAGCTCCCTGTCAGCCGTGGCCACCCCCAGCCCCTTCAAGATCAAGCCAGTCACTTCAAGGATAACATCCATCCATCTTGCCTTTGGTTGGCCCCTCTTCCTTTTTCCTTCCATTTTCCCCAGCATCATTATCTTCTCCATGTTTTCCTATCTACTCATTATGTGGCCAAAGTACTTCATCTTTACCTCTAATATCCTTCCCTTCAATTAGCAATTGGGCTTTATTTCCTGGATTGGTTGGATCTTCTTGTGGACCGAGGCACACTCAGAATTTTCCTCCAGCACCACAGCTCAAAAGAGTTCCTTCACTCAGCCTTCCTTGTGGTCCTTTATATTCTAGGCTACTTTTATTAATTTCAGTTTTTACATTTTTATTTACTAAGATGTCTTGAGGATTCAGTTTTAGAAATGAAGCATCCAACAAATATAAAGGAAGTGGATGAGGATGAAGAGGATATTATCGATACAGAAGGAAGGCCATTGAACTCTTGGAGGTATACTGGTCATTTCAGAAGTGCGCACAGAATCAAAAACCTACAACAAACAAGGCAGATGTACAGGATGTCCATAAAGTTTCTTTACCATTTATAACATTTACCATTTTTAAATAGTAAAAGACCTTACGGACACCCTGTATAATCAGACACTGCATCATTTATGTTCGTACTTGAGGACTGCAAATGAAATTTGTGACTTCTGTTATTGCTAATTTACACATTCAGCTCCACAGTTAAGTTGCAGCATCCTCTTACCCACATGGAGACCAGTTTCAATATGCTTTAAAACAGGGGTCCTCAAACTATGACCCAAGGGCCAGATACAGCCCTCCAAGGTCACTTACCCGGCCCTCGCTCAGGGTCAACCAAAGTCTGAAATGACTTGAAAACACACAACAACAACAATCCTATCTCATCAGCCACAAGCAGGCCCACACTTCCCATAGAAATTCAAATAAGTTTATATTTGTTAAAATAGTTCTTCATTTAAATTATTGTATTGTTTTTGAGTGTTTTTTGCACTACAAATAAGATATGTGTGGTGTGCATAGGAATTCATTCTTCTTCTTTTTTTTCAAATTATAATCCGGCCCTCCAACAGTTTGAGGGACTGTGATCTGGTCCTTTGTTTAAAAAGTGTGAAGACCCCTGCTTTAGAACCTTCTCCCGCCATGTTGGCTTCACCTTTGCCCCAATAACTTATCTGGGCAATCCCATTTATAAATACACTCCCTTGCCTTCCCTTGTGTGGTTGTAAAGCATATTTCTTTGGTAAGGGAGAATTTTGATACAATACTGATTATATAATGTTAAGAAATAATGAAAGTCAATAATATTGAAATACTGAAGAAAAATAAATTGATTATTGGAATACATTCTGCTGCAGCAATGTGTATGCTCTCATAGTTAAACAGCTGTGGACCAGAGACAGGGAAATTCTTTAAATATTCACTCAGAAGTAACTCCCTTGTGTCTAATAGTGTTGGGTGGATGACAGGCTAAATAAATTGTATATCGCTGTTCTTAGGGTTACAGGAGAGTCAATGGAAGTTGTCTGCGTGCTCGAATGAAGACATTATATTTAACTGTTTTACTTTGCTTATTAAGTAAGTGTGTTAAGTTAATTAATCTCACCTTTCCTCCAATAAGTTACAGGTGGCATACACGACTTTTCTCCTACACAGTTTATGCCCCCAACAATTATTTGAGAAAGGCCATGTTGAGGAGTGCCTGTCCTAAAGCTATACCCTCTGTGTTATAGCTCTATGGAAAGTAAGTGTTGGGTCTCACAGGTCCTTGTCCAACATGACACTTATCTCTGACTTACCTAGACATATCTCCACTTTTCCTATCTGTTCTGGGAGTTCCAAATGATGGGTTTTCTACAGGCACTCCCCCAGCATACATATGTGGCTATGTGGCTTTCACAATTTAAAACAGACCCTGGACACACTTGGGATACCTAAGAGTGGACTCAAGACCAATCTTGCCAACTGTCTGCTTCTCCCTATCCATATATGGAGATTTAGGCCTCTGAATCATGCAAGCAAAATATCTGAAAATACAAAGATATTTTTTTTAAAAAAATAAACTGCACTGAAAAAATAGCTCCCCTATTTACATTTTACATTAAGGCACAATAAAATCATTTTATCAAGAGTTAATAGCATTTTTTTAAAAAGAGTAGTTGCCAATTCCAGTAGCAATCTGTCATTGCTCACGACTCATGGGCTCACTTTGGAAACTCCAGAGGAAAGGGAAGGATATGGATTATTCAGTATATAATAGAATGACAAGATGGCATTGTTTTTGGCACAGAAATCAGTGACTGAGATTTTTTTAAATAACCTTATTCTGTTTCTCCTTCTTTCAGTCCTTTCAGTCCTTCTTGGTCACATCTGACAGTAAGGGAACTGCCAAACTCTGTTTCAATGCTGCATTGCCCAGCTCAATAGATTGGAGCATCATCTTGTAAAAGAGACAGTGTTGTGTCCCCCATGCATGGTGCATCTAGCTCTGTCTCTTTGAAGTGCTGGTACTCTGATCTATTGAGTGAGACATTGCAGCACTGGAGCAGAGTTGGGGCAAAGTTCCTTTTCAAAGTTATTTCGCTCAGATACAATAGCCATGTTTACTGGAGGATCCTAGGATTTGTAGCCTCATCTTTTGTAAAACAGTACAAGCTCTTCTGAACTGGATCAGCAGTCTGGTCAAGAGCTATACATGATCAATGGCATTAACCATGTAATCACAGAGTTGAAAAAGAGCACAAGGGCCATTTTGAAATACAGTACAGTCTTGCTTATCCAACCTTCACTCATCCAACGTTCTGTATTATCCAATGGAGTCTGCCTCCCACCAGAATCCATGGCTGTCTCAATACATTGCGATATTTTGGTGCTAAATTTGTAAATATAGTAATTACTACATAACGTTACCGTGTATTGAACTGCTTTTCCAGTTGATTTGTTGTGAAACATGATATTTTGGTGTTTAATTTGTAAAATCATAACGTTATTTGACATTTAATAGGCTTTTCCTTAATCCCTCCTTATTATCCAACATTTTCGCTTATCCAACGTTCTGCTAGCCCATTTATGTTGGATAAGTGAGACTCTACTGTAGTTAAAATTATATTGTTGTTATTAATAGTGGTAGTAGTGGTTATACCCCGCATTTATTCTCTGCTAAAGGAGACTTTTTAATGCTCTAGTTTCCTGAGTTTCATCTTTAGGGGCAAAAAGCCTTTGAGTACCTGCTCAGTTGATCAGCTCATCCTTAAACTGCAACTAATTCCCTGTGCTTATTAAGAGGTATCTTTTCTGATGAAAACTCCAAGACCATCATGCTTTTCACCTTCCCTTTTAAAAATTATGTGAGCTAGATAAATTTCACTTGCAGGTTGTATATTCTTTTCTTTTTCTTTCCATTGCATCTGGAAGTAATTTAGTTCCTGGTGGAACATTTGTTTTGCTTCCTCCATCAGGAAGCATGCCAGTGTTTGATCTGGCCATTACTTATGGACAGCCAAGTATTTGAAATTTGCTCTTGTGCCTTGTTCCAGGAATTCATCTTGGTGCTACTCCACCTTTCATGGCTGATACATAGCTCAGGTCCATTTGACTAAATTCAAACATTATATTGATTTGTGATTCATCCTAATTATGAATTTATCTTTCAGATGTATATTACATTAAACTTTGGTTTTAATTAGGTGTCTGATTTCCCTTCTGAAATCCTCAAGCACTCTACTTAGTAAACTAAAAAAATCCATTCATTCTTATAATCTCCACAATCTAGCAGATTCCTAAGAAGGAGCAATCATGTTCCTGAATTATTACATCAAAAGATGCATACAGTTGGTAGCAGGAAAAAAAAATTAACATCTATATGTCTGTATAGTATGTAGAACTTCAGGAAACTCTTTTTTGCTGTCAGATGTTTTTAATGTGGTCTCTTGTTTTTCTTTTTGTGAAAATTATAAATTAAATGGGCCCTTTCAGACATTTTCTCCATATATTTGTTTTGATGCTACCTGCAGCAGTAACATCTCACTGGTGGTAGCACAGCAGGTTAAACCACTAGCTGCAGGAAATCTGCTGACAGGAGGGTTAACAGTTCGAAGCCATGTGTTGGGGTGTGCTACAGAAATTGAAATCTGGGATTTTTTCCAAAAGGAAATTTCCAGCTCAGAAAGATGCCAAGAAAATTATTAAAACACATGTCTTCTATTGACATCGAACACAAAAGAACAACCGGGGTGGAACTTAACCAATTAATGCTCCTCTGTAGTGAATGCCAGCC